CCAGGACCAGATAAAATTTACAACAAAGCCCTCCAGAAAGGTACTTTTAAATTATACGAACTCCTAACCCAACTATATAACTCCTGTATCACTTACAGATATTTTCCTTCAACCTGGAAGTCGGCTCTAGTAACAATGATACCCAAGCCGGACAAAGATCTAAGTAAACCCTCTTCTTACCGGCCTATAAGCCTTCTGGAGACGCTGATATCGTTAATTCGAGTAATTAGAGGCCGAGAAATTGCAATTTATCGAAGCTGGACGAATTCGCAGGCGGGCTACGGAAAAGATGGAGGAGGTTGGAGTGCTGTAAACTCGGTTCCTCCGCCGAATTCCGCTACTCGCCCGCAGCATTCGAGCGCTCGGCTCCAACCGAGTATAGAAGGCGCCGATCGACGAGGTGGTGAAAAGGCCCAGGACCAGATAAAATTTACAACAAAGCCCTCCAGAAAGGTACTTTTAAACTATATGAACTGCTAACTCAACTATACAACTCTTGTATCACCTACAGATATTTTCCTTCAACCTGGAAGTCGGCTCTAGTAACAATGATACCAAAGCCGGACAAAGATTTAAGTAAACCTTCTTCTTACCGGCCTATAAGCCTCCTAAGTGTCCTGGGTAAAACTCTTGAGAGAATAATTACAGATAGGCTAACCTCTTTCCTTGAAAGTAATGGCATCCTCCATCCGGCTCAGGCCGGCTTCCGGCGCAACATGTGCACTTCGGATCAGCTTGTCCGCCTGCAAAGTGATATACTGAATGCCGGTAACAGTAACTACCCTCTTCTAGCACTGTTTTTTGATGTTGAAAAGGCATTTGATAAAGTCTGGCACAGGGGCCTACTCTATAAACTCAGATTTAACTATAAACTTCCCCTGGGCCTAGTAGCTCTTATTGAGTCCTATCTTAGTAACCGCACCCTTAAAGTTAGAATTGAGGACTCAACCTCTGAATCTTTCTCAATCTCAGCAGGAGTCCCCCAAGGCTCAGTACTTGCCCCCCTCCTCTTCCTCCTGTATGTAAATGATTTACCTCTCTGTCTCCCCAAAGGGGTTAACATTTCCCAATTTGCAGACGATACGGCAATCTGGATCCGAAGTAGTCTTAAGGCAAGGCTGGGCAACATTCCATCATTAGCTCAGAAGGCCCTGGATTGCATCCATCAATATTGCTCTAAATGGAGAATCCTAATGAACCCCACCAAGTCCACTGCACTCTTATTTTCCATCAGTAAGACTCTTGATCCCCCCCGGCTTTCACTTGGTGGCAAAGTCATCCCCTATTCCCCTACAGTAAAATTTCTTGGTCTCACCTTCCAGAACAACTTCTATTGGTCCAAACACATTGCTAATCTCAGAAATAAAGCTAGACGCAAACTCAACTGTCTAAAGATAATAAGTGGGACCAACAGATGCAATCCAGGAACAGTACTGCACCTTTATAAGACCTTCATTCGGCCGGTTCTCACTTATGGACATGCAGCCTGGGCTAACTGTTCTGATTCTGCTTTTTCAAGAATACAGACAGTAGAAACAGCAGCCATCAGGTATGCACTGAGGCTCCCAGGCTATGTCTCTAAGAAGTACATTTACCACCAGTCCAAAATAGAGCCGTTGCAGCAGTACGCCTCCAAGCTTGCGCTTAAATACTTTGAAGACCCTAAACGCCCGGATGATATCCGTAACATCAGTGTAACGAGTAACAAGAAAATCAAATTTAAAAAGCATAAAAGAGTAAGAACCTATCCATTATTCAATTTGAACCGTAGAGCGGAAGATGGTCAGGGCCCTCCCCCCCCCTTGTCCCAGCTGCCCTGTTAATCTGCTTTATCATATAGCCTAAGAACTGATTTACTCATCTTCCATCTCTCATCTTTCCAGGACTGTCAGCCCAAGCTGTCCTGTTCTTCAGAACCCGCAATAACTTCACCCAGGAGGACTTCAAACACCCCCATGACCCAAGCTAAGTCACTCCTCCACAATCCCCCTTATCTCCAAAAGTGTGTGCATGCGCGTATGACAGTGTGAGCAAAAGGTTGTGTGAATGGCATGAGTGAATGTTGCATAGCTCCATAAATCTCCAATTAATCTAGCTGTACAAATATCCTCCACTGACCCTTAGATCCTCCCTCCAATCATTACTATAAGATATTTACATATTTATATATACAAAAAAACAAAAAACAAAAATAAAAAAATATAAAATGAAATAAAATGAAATAAAAATGAATAAAAATGAAAAAACTAAATAAAAAAACTATAAAACAAGAAAAACCACCCCCACAATGACCATGCCCACTGAAATATCTTTTACCTCCCTCAGCAACCCCTGGCCTGACAACACCACCTGGTGGCTGGCCGCGGACCCACCCGACCCCAAGACCTCCACACCACCCTCGACCCCAAGACCTGGACTTCAACAACCTATGAAGAACCACCATCTGTCCATAACTAATCCTGTATATTCCACCTCCTCCCACCCTGTATCCTTTTCTTGTAAAGGGCATGTTGTATAATAAATGGTCATTGAACAAAAAAAAAAAACTTGAGGCGGAGTTTCTGGGACACCCTGTGTTCCAAAGTCGTTGCGGAAGTCACAGATTTGTATGGACTGACTTGCAAGGTGATCAGACCTCGATCCCAGGAAACATGCCTAAGGTGCCCTTGCATAACATGTAGCAACTCAAGTGGCAATTTTGAACCAAAATAAATCCATTGGACATACCCTCAGGGACACTTGGACATCCAATGTATATCCTCCTCGGATGATTAAATGTCTTGTCTAAAGATAATCCATGGATTATCGGATGGCCTATTGGATGTCAGTCTCTTTGAATCCATTGGAGATTCCCTATGGGAAAGCTATCGGATGACCATTGAGGGGTGCAGCGATAGTAATCTCCGGGGTAGCAATGGAGAAAAATTTCATGAAATCGATGATCTTGCCCTCTCAAGTTCCTAAGAACTAGGAGAGAAGCGGTAGGATGGAAAATAAAGTATCACTGACATGAAACTCTCAAACTTTCCATTCTTATGCCTCAATCAAGCGATTACTTTCCACATCGAGAAAGGCTACAGTTTCCATGCGAGGAAGGAAAAGACTTAATTGAAAAGGGGAACCACACTCTCTTCTTGCAATGTGCACGAATTGTCGGGAGTCTCCTTGAACTACTTTACCTCTTTCAATAAATGAAATAATTAAAATTACTTCCTTCCTTCGGCTTGTACGTGGAAAATCATCGAGTTGAGGATGAAAGCTTCCGCAGAACAATTTGTTACCATTTATGGAATCGGGAGACAGAGCGGCGGGATGAGCGCGATCTCACTTATATTACGGGAACTTTATATTTCTTGAATCAACTGCTAGATGTCAGTCCAGATGGAAGGCCTCAACCTCATCCAAGAACATCCAATGGTGAGATAGTTGTCCTTGGAAGTTCCTTTGCTGAACGTCCAATGAATGCTAAAAGATGGACTGACACATCGTTTCGTTCGTAACGTCGAACTCTAAAATGAAATCATGCACTGGTTCAATTATAATGTCACACTATCTATATATTGATTGAAGTTATTGGGTTGCGACCTAAGATGGGAGATTTGAAGAAAAAAAAATTAAATTCCATGATCGGATGCTCGTAACGCCATTTCATAAAACCTTCATTCATTAAAATGGAAATAATTGAGTGTTCGATGAAGGGAAATTCTGCTTGAATAAAGTTCAGAATGCATGAGAAGATATCGATCCATGGCGATGACATCCTACGTGCATCCATAGGACGACCGATTCTGGACAACTGGGCTGTCCATGGACGAGTTTTGGATCACCCATGGCCACTTGGATCAATCAGCAACCACAAACCCCTGGAGACCTTGCAGGAACTTCTCAACACATCAATTATGAGCATACCACATCACTATCCAGCCTACATTGCTGTCTGGGGTGACAATACTTCATGTTTGTGCCATTGCTACACAAATAGAGGGTGGGAAAGGGTGATATAAACATCCTGGTTGTTGTGCACTCTGTAGAACTTCATGTATTCATAGTATGGAAAAAATATATCTTAAGGCATACATTTTTCCAAATTTCCATATAAATTCTATTAAGCATCATATTTTAACATTGTTAGTGCATGACTTTGGCCAAGGGGATACCATAGGATTGGAAACACAGGTGACCCTATCATTTTTAAGCAGTGCACAAGCAGCAAGGAGTTTCTGCAAAAAGGTAGCTTTTCATACTCTGACCATTCAGATTCAAAGTAAAAAATCCCACTTCTATGAAAGACAATTTCTCCTTTGTCATGGCTCTAAGAGCACCACAGCTCACAGAGTGAGCTGCACATGCACTCTCACACATGGGACTACATCGAGTTTAAACTACAGGGTGATTCGTAAGTCAGGTTCCATAGGGAATGCCTTTATTCTGGGTGCTTCCGGTTAAACTCCTCTGTGATATGTCTGTAACTGCCATTAGCCACCAACACCACCTTAATATGTTCTTCAATTGACAAAGACATCACTGCAAGCATTCACACACCTGTGACAATAATGATTACTCCTATGTAATCTGACTTATGAATCACCCTGTACTTCAACCAATTCCCTCAACAACCACTGGACAATGCAGCTATCTTGGAACTTCCCAAAAGCAGAGAAGACATCTAGATAATCACCACAAGAGGGTAAGAATGAAACCATCCAGTGATACAGTGCTTCAAGCAGCTGCCAGCCATTCAAGGCTAGAATTCCCCCATAGATCACAATGGATAACCATTTTACTTCCTTGTGAGGCAGGCAGACTACTCAATGTAAATACACAACAAATGCTTTTCCAACTTGCTATATCCCCATAGAGGATCAAGAAGTTCCGCTTCCGAATTGACGTAATTGTCTGTTGACGAAGTCAAAGAATCCTCAGTCCGATGTGATATTGTACTTGAAGATTTATTCTTTGGAACAACCATATAGACACAGAAAACAGAGCATAATACAGAAGCCCAGTAAAAAAAATAAAAGAAAAAAACAGGGGATAAAATAAATATTTTGATCAATAAAACAAAGATAAAGTTTCAACATTTTGGCAAAGAGCTGAAACTTAGGAGCACCTTTCAGATCCACACTCAGAGAGGGTTTCAAATACACATATCACAAAAGAAGTCAAAATCATGGAACATTCAGTGAGAATATGGGGATCCATGGTTGGATGGGTAGCCCATGTGACCTGAAGTCAATGGATTACTCGGGTAACTGGAATTGCTCGATCCAGGTGGATACCCCGGCTGGATCGGGTTTGGCACATATGCGGGATTGGATGGGTAGCTGGGAACTGGAGATTGCTGGTTGAAAGAGGATGCTGGAGCAGATGGGAGGAACCCAGATGCAGGACATGACAGACCTGAAGGGTTATCTGGATGTGGGGGGTATACATGTGATGGTTGTGGAACATAGCCAGATGGTGCAGGTGTTGCTTGGGGAAGATACCCAGGGGCATATGATGAGGGATTGGGTGAATACCCTGGAGCAGCAGGCTGAGGATTGATTGTATATCCAGGGGCAGAAGATGAAGGATTTGGTGGATAGCCAGGAGTAGCTAATGAGGGATTGGGAGGGTAACCTGGAATAGGAGAAGAGGAATGGGGGGGATAACCTGGAGAAGGGGAAGAGTGATGGGGGGAATACATAGAGGCTGATGAGCCTGGATGCAATGGAGCATCTGATTGAAGAGGGTGGCCCAAAGAGGGAGGATTCAATCCCATGTGACCGGTGAGCTGATTCGGGATCTCCCGCAAGACATCGGCTGCAAGATTCACCCTCTGTTGCTCCATGTCCAGCCCCATGTACCGGTTCATTGCTGCCAAATCAAACACCATGCCACACCATGAGCAAAAATGAAAACCTCACTCTACATGTGCATTGCCTTCACAAGCCCATGCAATCCAGAGTCATCAGCAAGGGAAGGCAAGATGAGAGGCAATTAGCCAGACAACATGAGTGTATGCCTACGTGAGGAGGAAGGATCGGGAGGAGGAATGCCTTTCATCTTCATGTATGAGAGGAGCTGGTTGGGGACTTCGGCTAGGACGTCTCTCGCTAAGGCCGACTGGTTGTACGACTGAGCTCGGTTCATCCGCTGGTCTATGTACTTGTTCAGAGCTGGACAGTTTACACCACACCAAAAGGAGAGATAAAGAGAATCTGAGACTCCCCATCCATTGCTTCATTTCCCTTTCATTAAATAAATTATGGAAAATGGGGCAATGGCAACAATTTAAGGTAAGTAGGCCTACATGAGGTAATTGAGAGAAAAATAAAAGAGAATACAATGTAGCTTTAGAGGTCGTAGATGATCTGGCATCCATCACCCACAAGAAAAATGTCTGGATAAAATAAAGGGTCCCACAGTTTCATTGTTACAACAGTCCCTTGAACCTTTTATTCTATGATAAAACCTACATTTTTGACAAGCAGAAGAGGCCCCTTAGAGAGCCCCCTCCTGTGATGTCTGTCGCTGTCTCTCCACATTCTCTCTCTCTCTCTCCTCATTCTCTCTATAGTAACCTTCTAGACTAGATGGTCATTTACACTGGGCGTTCCTGAGAAATAACTTTGCCAGTTCTCTGGGCTCTATGCAGCCATCACTATCCCAACAATTTCCATCCCCAGCAAGCAGGCCATTATTTATTATATGCTCCTCCCTCTTTGTAGGATGGGGAGGGGGGAGGAAACAGGCAGAAGGGAAAGGGAAGGTCAACATAATCCTCTCATACTTCTTCCATGTCTCTAAGGGAGTTTGGAGCAATGGTAAGTTTAAAACAAATCCTCCATCCTATGAATAATAGTGTGGTGTCAGTCTATCAATGCTAAGAACCTCTAAGTTAATAAGAACTTTATTTCTTTTTATAGTTATCTTCCTTTAAGGGAGGGGCCATTTTGTCAGGTTTTTCATTTGGAACCAAATTGTAGCAGATTCAGGACTGTTGAATGGGGAATAAATGGAGAGGATGAGGTCAACATGGGAAACAGTTAAGCAACAAGACTTCCATTGGGGAAAAGGAATTGCATCAAGTCAATACGAGGTCTGATCAAAAAGTATCCGACCAATGGCCAGGAAAAAAAAAAAACAACTCTAAACTACGGTGTTGCGGTCCTAATCCCCTTCAAAGTAGGCCCCTTCTGACACCACACACTTGTTCCAGCGGTCCTTCCATTGTTCAAAACACTTTTGGAACTCGCTCTGTGGAATACCCAACAGCTGCGTCGTCACATTACGTTTTAACTCCTCTGTGTCTTCAAACCGCTTCCCCTTCGATGGCATTTTCAACTTTGGGAAAAGGAAAAAGTCACACGGAGCCATGTCCGGTGAATAGGGGGGCTGCGGAACTTGCGGGATTCGATGTTTGGCCAAGAAGTTCTGGACAAGATGTGACGAGTGGGCGGGGGCGTTGTCATGGTGCAGCTGCCAGTCGCCCCGCTCCCACAACGCAGGTCGCTTGCGCCGCACCGCATCACGCAACCGCCGGAGAACTTCAACGTAGTACTCTTTGTTTACAGTTTGGGCATCTGGTGCGTATTCATGGTGAACGACGCCTTTGTGATCGAAGAAAACAGTCAACATCACTTTGACTTTGCTTCGAACTCGGCGAGCCTTCTTTGGCCTCGGTGATTGAGGAGTCTTCCATTGTGATGACTGAGCTTTGGTTTCCGGATCGTAACCGTAAACCCACGATTCATCACCGGTAATTATTGTTTTCATGAAGTTTGCGTCTCTATCAACACACTGCAGCAAATCTCTGGCTACCGCAAGGCGAGCTTCCTTCTGCTCGACTGTCAGCAGTTTTGGGACAAATTTTGCCGAGACGCGTTTCATTGCCAAATCTTCTGTCAGAATGGGCTGTACCGTACCAAACGAAATCCCCAACTCATCGGACAGCTCTCTAATTGTTATCCTCCGGTTTTCTCGCACGGCAGCACGCAATTTGTCAATCATCTGTTGGTTCCTGCTCGAGGATGGCCTCCCTGAGCGTTCATCTCTCTCCACTGACGTCCGTCCTTCTTTGAACCGCCTGAACCATTCCTTAATTTGCGTATGGCCCATTGCCTCATTCCCAAAAGCCTTCTGAATCATACCGTATGTTTCTGAGCACGAGTGCCCAAGTTTCTGGCAAAACTTGATGCAGATGCGCTGCTCAATTTTCTCAGTCATCGTCAATGCGACGCGCAGAAAACGCACAACAATAGATTTTGACTGATTGAAGGTAACTGAGCAGTCCGAGCGACGATTAATAATTCACGCATGCGCACGGAGGTTCCAGGTCACACGCACCCTACTCCCCGGCCTCAAGCGTCTTCTTGTTAAAAAAAAAAATGTGGCCGGATACTTTTTGATCAGAACTCGTACACTGAATCCTTTACTCATTTTTCCTTTCTCTGAAGACTGCTTTTTTTATTATGATTATAGAGTCCTGGGAACAAGACAAATTTTCTCCATGGTAATGGTTGGCAATAGGTATTTGGGATTCATGATCGTCACATCATGAGAGGTCTCAGGAGCACAGTCAGGTCAAGAGGGGCTTTAAAAAAATTAGTGGCGGAATGTACGATAAAAGAAGAGAGGGAAGAGCGAAATGGGACCAGCTCCAAAAGGGAGCCCCTTGTGACCCCGAGTGTAAAAATAAAAAAATAAGTAAATAAAAGGCTATGGTCCTTATCAGAATTAATGACTTTCCTGCCTATCTTGAGTTCCAGTAACCATTCGAGATCATTTGGATACTCTATGCTCAACTCAAAATATTCCAAGAACTACATGGAAGGGGGAGATAGTTTTCCTGGAAAGAAAAGGAAGGAAAGTTTTTTCCAGCTCTGATAACACTCTTCCCCCTACTGCCAATAATCTGCCTTTTCTCTTCCATTCTGGTCAATCGAAAAGCCATCTTTGACAGAAAGGGGGAAAGATCCTTCTTTATGAATGTTAGGAATGACAATCAGGCTTATGTAACCAAAACCACATGTCCTTCCAGACAAGAGCTGGAGCTTTCCTCGCCCCGATATTACTTCATTCCTCTTGGAACTGATATCGATAAGAGGAGCATGGGAGATAAGAGAGAGAGGGAGACCGTAGGGGTAGGGGAGAGAGAGAAAGACCAAATGCTGGATAAACCCACTTAGCAAGGGAAATCATCGTCCCATCCCCAAGAGGCGGAATTCGCGCAAACGGCTCCTGTCGGCGTTATCCCGCGGTCGAATTTTCGCCATTTTCCTGAAATTTAATTATATTTTTCGCTCTTATTCCGTTTCGGTGTTCGGCACGATTCCGTCCTAACTCGCTCTCGCGACCCCATCTCCTACGATCTCCACGCCGCAGGGCACAGAAAAGTGGACTGACCGACAAACTGGACGATGTCCCGCTGCGCCGGAACGCCGTTGGCCACGAGACCCCGATCGTCGGCATCCAACCTCTCCATCTCGGCGAAGTTCTCGTTCCCGACGCCCACGATGATGACCGACATCGGGAGGGTAGACGCACGCACCAGTGCTTCCTTCGTCGCATCCATATCTATCAAGCATAAAAAGGGAAACATACATCCAATCCAAAACAAAAAAAACCCGAAAATATCGCATATCAGTTCGATTCTGGAAAGTCTGTGCCGCGATCATGGTGAATTTTATGTCGTTGAATTGCTCCCTTTGTCCCTATTGATTCAGTATGCTATAAATTATGACTCTAGGAGGGCTTTCAACCAGGCGATTAAGGGAAAATAGAGGGATCCATCACACCAGCTGCTTCAAGAACTCTACCTTGTATTTATTTATTATGGTGTACTTACTACAATAAATTCTACATTTTGCATTCAGTGTATAATTCCATTTTCTAATAGTTAATATCTCTATTTACCACCAGGAGTCCAGCAGGCATATCCATCAAAAAGTGCCAAACTGGGCTCTGAGATCAAGCAGGTTCAAGAAGATTAAGGGACAAGAGCATCTTTCATCAGATCAGAGCACACTTTAAAATCTCGTCAAGTAAATCATACCATTAAAGTGAAGGTGATGTCTTCAACACAAGTTATGACCAACCTCATAGTTTTCTCTCAGCAAAGCAAAGGAACAGTTTTTGGACAAGATTTCCATGTATTGGACTTTGGCTCACCACAGATGATGCCATCCGTGATGATGAGAAGGATGAAGTAGTCCTGGCCCGTACTGGCCGCAGCGAATCGAGACACGTGTCGGATCACGGGGGCAAAATATGTTGGTCCGTGCAGGGTCACTACATGGAAGAAAAACCACAAATTTTGTAATCTCTTCTGGCCTGAGAAAAGCCATAGAAAAGGCTAGGTGTGTGGGTCTATCTGATCTTAATTCTCTTAACCTGTTCACATCCAAAGGTTCAATTTTAAACCATGAATGTTTTTGTCTCGCACATGGATTTCCCTAAAATTATGATGATGTCAGTTTTACCCAAGCAATCATAGGCTGGATGGAAAAAGTAAGGGCATGGGAACTCTACACCACAGCTAGCAAAGGATGCTAAATGATGATCTGTTTGCAATGGCTCAGTTGCATTTTTGTGCACATATGAAGCAGACCATAGAGGTATTTTCAAAATTATTTTTTCCATCTACTTTTCCAGAAATTTACAAATTAGATTATGGAAAGTAGCAAAGTTGCATCAAGGAATATAGAAGATAAGGATTTGATTTTCAGCAGAATTAATGAAGGTAAATGATTTAAAAAACTTAAGATCTAAATTTAATTTATTACTCATTTGTTAAAGCATGTACACATTTCCTAAGCTTTCTTGAATCCATGAAATAAAATATATTTTCTAAGCTCAAAAGGTAATTTTGACATGAATGGGTTAATAAGGTTATGGTGGTAACAGAAATGCTATCTTTATAAAACAAGACAGTTTACACAAGAACAGCTCCTTAAATAACTGAAACAGATTGTACTTGATTATCCACATATGAAACTTGTGACACTCTGGAGCAGCTTCATTTACAGAATATAAACTGGTAGCCTACTTCAATGCAGGTACGAAACCTTTTCCACCACTTTCTTGCACCATTGGACTATATTAGGTAGTGAGGTAAATGATGACAAGACAGAGAAATTGGATCCAGTACTTGCTACTTTCCTGAACTCAAGATAAAATATTTTAAGTTATATCAGAAATTGAATTTTCACCTCTGTAGAGAGCACTGTAGTAGGCCTGGAGGACACCATCAATTCCAGAACAGTATGGGTTCTCAGGATGACCATTGAGGTAGAATTCGTGAGAGACTTGATTCATGGGAGGGATTTGGGCACCGAAACCCAGTGCTGGAAACTGCTTATCACTGTCATAGTCCTGGATGATGTCTCCAACAGCCCGGATGGCCATTGCGTAGGGGTTCAGCCCGTTTGGATTTCGGTAATGCAGGGATCTTGGGTCCTGAGGGTGTCCATTGGATGCAGTGAAGTCTATCGCCACTGTGAAGTGAATCTGAGTCCCACCCTTCACATAATCCAGGAAACTAGGCTTCACTTCCAATTTGAACAGATTCAACACAAGAATGCCCGAGTTCTTATATTTCTTCTTGCTTCTCTTGCGAGGGTTGATGAGTTCATAGCGATTTTTGCTGCTGTTGGGTCCTTCTGCCAGTTGCTTGAGGGTGGTGGTAGTCTCCCCGATGAGATCATGTGTACCGTCCCGGTCCCAGTCGAAGCATTCCACCTTGATGGTCCGGTTGTGGTCTCCATTGCACAGCTTCTGAACAGGAAGGGAAAAGGGCCTCCACTTTGGGTTAAGGGTGTTGGACATGACCTCTGTCCTGTGCACCACACTGAAACTCCCATCTGAATTTGACCTGGAAGGACAACCATCACAATTGACCTCTCTTCCCTTTACATGGAACTAGTAATGCAGGCACAAGAAGCAGACAAACTTGGAGAAGATGAGGAAGGGGTCACTCTTCCCAAATGTGTCCTTTTTATCAAGCTTTGTGCCAGAGAACTGCATCTGAGCCTCTTCCTTGCATGATGAAACCTCTTCAGCAACAATCGAAAGCGTTGGGGATCCCACTGCCTTCGCGAGCCTTCTCGTGAACTGGGACAAAACACGATTCATTAAGGAAAAGCCACATTCAATAACAGATCTTGTGATTCAATTGGGACTTACTTGTCTCCCTCCGCATGCCACAATCTCTCCAAGGCTGCATTCCATCACACCAACAAAGTCATGTTTGCGAAGTACATCACTTGAGCTGTCTCGATCATATATTTCAAACTTCAACTCCTGTAGTGCAAAGTTAGAGCTGATAATTCCATCACAACAATAAATAGCAAGTCTATCTGATAAACTAGCCCTGGAAAACTTAGGGATAATTAGAACATATGCCTTTACTAAGCCAGCAAAGCCAGAAACTTACACATCTTTCTTCAAAGAAATAATCCAATATGAATTTCTTGGACCAGGAAGGATTTCGATTATTTTTCAGGGTCTCGGTTCTTCCCACTTCTGTGTACGGTGCTGATCCTACCTTCCTCATTGACAAAACGCAGAAAGGATCAGAGGCAGATACCACATCTTGATCAACCAAGTTCCTGAAAACAGAAACTGATGATGATTTTCCAGCCCTGAAGAAATTTTCAGAAAAACCAATGTTGTCTCCAGTCCTAGGGCTGGGGGCAATGGCTATAAACTAAATATGCATGAAATATCTTTACACAACAAAACTGCTTAAGGGCCTAACTTATGCATAGTTTCAGCTGAAGAAGCAATACAGAAAAGGACCCAATTGCAGAAAAAAAAAATTGACTTACAATCAATCCCACACTGAGTGTGATCCACAAAGAGATACACCCCTTTTGTGCTCATTGAGCACAAAAGGGGTGTATCTCTTTGGCAATGCCTGTATCATGCATGTCATTCACACATGTCCATAATCAAAATTGATTTTCCCATGTACAAACCTTATCACCAATTTAGACAAATAGCTACATATAACTTAAAAGTTTCTGTTGCAGAAAAAGGATTTAATAATTGCTGACCTTAACCAATACTTGCTGATAATTAATTACGGTCATTCGTTTTGGGCGATTTTTCTTCCTATCTTTTAAACCTTAGCACCATAGAACGATAGGCCCAGGCTTAACGATACGCAAAGGTCTAGGCCTATCGTATCAACCATTCCCTCAAAAATCAACAAGTGGATTCATCTAGCTGCGTTAGGCCTAGATTAAGCAAGCGAGTCATACCTGGCCGACACAGTCAATTCCACTTGCGAATGCGGGCCCCTATTGCTGTACGGATCCATCGCGACTCACACCTGAGTTGCCACTGAGAGCATGCAGGCAGATCTCAAGCTAAATAAGCCGCGCCACTTCTCCGAACTGCGTATCTCGAATCCGAAATCCCCGTGACGTTCGTCGAGCGCTGAATCCGCCTCTGTGACGCACAACGTCACGGGTCGATCTGAGTCAACTCACTCTCTCCTCTTCTAGTTCTACTCTTCGCCAGCAGATGGTAGCACTGCGTCAACGCGACCCACAGACAAGCACGGCGCGTGCCGCATCTCGTCAGTCCACGCGTCGCCTTCGAGATCCTCCAAAGTCCCCATTCTTCTCCCGTGTCTGCATTCCGAAAACATTCAAGATTGCAAGATATCTTCCGCCTCGCTGAAAAAACCCGCAAAAAACCGCCCAGATCTCGCCAGTACCCCAGACCCCGATCACCCCTACCCCTCATCCCCACCGGTGTAGCATTAAGATCATACTTCACAGGATCATTTCTGTAGTGTGATCTCCCACCTTAGTGTGGAAATTTCACTTGCAATCTCACCACGCTGAGGAGCCGGAGCATCTCTTCCTGAGCGGGAAGCCGACCCTGGAGGGACTCCTCGTGGGTCTCTCCTCGGTCATTGAGGACCGTTCTCTCGCCTTCGGGTGATGAGGAGGAGGGGATGCATTCTGAGTGGTGATCTAATGTACTACAATTCATTTTTATTTTTAACCTTATGTAAAAGGCTAGTTAAGATTGCTTGAGTAAGTAGGCAACTTCTCAATTACTTTCCCAAGCTTTTTGAGGGTTAATGCAGGATCAATCCGCATGAAAGTCATGTCCAGAAAAGCTACCCGAATCCAATCCTTTTAGCTAATCAACTAAAAGGATTGACGATGGACGCAACAAATCCAATTAAAGTTGCTGGAAATGAAGATTTAAGAGATGAAATTCCGAGTTGTTCCAGAACTTCATTCAAGTGCTTCCGTCGGTCTGGCCAGACACATTGCCAAAGCCGATTTTATTGGTAGGGATTGCTGCAAAAAAATTCAACGAAATGGAGGAAAAGTTGGCGTGGACAGCGGTATGGCTAAATAAAGAGTTTCCTTTAAATAAAAAAGGTTACTTTAATGGATATCTTAAGTCCCTGCTACCTCTGGGAAGGCCATGCGCAGTGAATTATTCAATAAAGGAATTAAATTTGGACTGAAAGTCCTTTGGATGCCATGATTCCTTGACCTTGGACCTCTCATTTCATGTGATGGCATGCTTGTCGATACTGATTTGGATGCACTAGGCGATCTAAAAAAGAGTCTTTTGTATCAAGAGGGGGAGGAAGGTGGAAATGGGGGAAAGTGGAGGGGTGAGTAGGGTTGAAATGGGGGAAGGTGGGGGGTGAGGGGACGACTCCGTCACGAAAATGCGACGTCACCAGGGCTCCATCAAATTTTCATATCGCCTTGGTTAGTTACTACTGAGTCCTCCAGTGATTTGGCTTGCAAATTCCATTTCTTAATCGGCATACTTTCATTATTCGATCAATGCCGGCGCCACTGCATTTCTCTCTCATATGGACTTCTTTTTCGCTTTCATCAATGTTAGATATGATTCATTCGCTAAACTTTTTTTTGCAGGCTTCATCTCATCGACTGTCGTTTTCGTCAGCTTCACCCAGTGAAGCGTAAGTTCCTTCTTTCGTGATGAAATGGAACTTTCGCCTTGTCTGTCGACGAAAGCAAAAAATCTTCCATCGAAGTAATTTTCATTCCCACTCGTCGCCAACGGATGGCAGCACTGCGCCGACTCTCCCACCCACTCTCTCGGAGCGCGCGTCGTCCTCGTCAGACGAGACGGCGACGTCGCGATTCTAAATCCCTATTCTTCTCCTTTCATCAAATTCCAAAATATTAAATGTTAGAGAATGTCTCCCACCTCTGTAAAGGAAACCCTCAAAAAACCGCGCGGATCTTGAAGACACTCCCGACTTTGATCACCTCTTCATCCTCACTCCCACCGATGGAAATTTAAGATCATACTTCACAGGATCATTTCTGTAGTGTGATCTCCCACCTCAGTGTGGAAATTCCACTTGCAATCTCACCACGATGAGGAGCCGGAGCATCTCTTCCTGAGCGGGAAGCCGACCCTGGAGGGACTCCTCGTGAGTCTCTCCTCGGTCATTGAGGACCGTCCTCTCGCCTTCGGGTGATGAGGAGGAGGGGATGCATTCTGAGTGGTGATCTAATGGACTAAGGTCCATTTTCCGAAAAAAAGTATGGGAATAAGGGATTTAAATTTATGGTAGTATATTCAATCTACTATGGTTCCTTTTTCATTCATTTCTTCAGAAGACGTTTTTTTTATATGCCAGTTACTTTGTAGATGTCTTCGATTTTTTGCCGAACGGACCCGATGGTCCTGAACGCTCCAAAATAAATAAAAAATTAAGAAAATAAAACATAAGACCTGAAGTGATGACCCAGAATGTTTGAAGGTTCTCAGTTTCTGAAAACCGAAATTTTCCACGGTTTCGTAAACTTTGGAAATTAAGAAAGTGAAAGTACTCCTATTTCGTAGCAATATTTTTCCGCATGGCAGGATTACAGCGCAGCATGTGAAAATGGATTATTTTATTAATTTTTATCTCAACTAAATTAATTTTATCCCGACGTTCAAAGGCCTTCATGGCTTCACCTTGCAAGCAAGAACAAAGTTCTCACAAAGTCAAAATCATTGACGCTCGGGATCTCGACGAAATTCCATGAAGTTGCTAGGAAACTTTCGCCGATTTTCTGCATGGATGGAATTGGGCTCTTAAGAGAAATTAAAATGCGACGTTTAGTACTTGTCGCATTTTAGCGTTTTGCATTTAGACGTTTAATGTCGCCTTTCCATCGGTGGAAAGATCTCGCGACTAAAGATGAAGAAAAAACGGGCGACTGGATTAAAAATCGATCTTGCTTCGGCCTTAAGAGACCGATGACGCAAGCGATCGGCGGGCCACCGCACTCCCACAATCTATTCGTTTGTGTTATTTTATTGCACGCCACGAACATCCGGAGACGAGAGCGGGGCATGACGTCACGGACTCGTGACCGCCTGGGGAAGAGGCAATGACGGTCCTCCCCGCCTCCACCGATGACGTCATTGCCTCCCACAAGGGGGGGCGGAGGTGGAGGCGGGGAGGATGTCGTGCATGGAATCTAATCCGTTCACGAGGATAGCTAAGAAAATAATTCACAGAGGGCAATCGATGTTTTAGTTTAGTTCCCTCGCCCGAGATATTTCATGACTCTAGTTTTTCTTTTTTAAGACTTTGGTTCCGTTCCAGACGGGCTCTCATACCAAAGAAAGTAATTGGGGACGCAGTTATGCTTTTTGCAAGAACGGAGAAATTCACTTCCGAAGCAGATTAATGACAACCTGATGCTAGTACAGATTAAAAACTATATCTGCTGAAGATGATCTAGACCAGTGGTGCCCAACCTTTTCGGCTGGGGGCCACATAGCTCACTCCCATAGCCATCGCGGGCCAGTCACTAGTATTGTAGGAGACTATTTTAAGGAAACCTAAGGGTATTTATTGTGGGTTAGGACCTCGCGGGCCACTTTTTGCCCGCGGGTTGAGCACCACTGATCCAGACCTAACTTCTGCTGGCCTTTCCTGTCGACGTCGACTGAAGCAACGGTTTTATTTCCTTCGCCATTTGTCGTTTCGTGGTCCAAATCTCACTGAATTAGAGTCGACTGCCTGCCGTTTTCTCCATTCGGCATGGTCGATGATGACTTGCACAGAGTTTGGAATTGGTTTCGTCATGGCTTCCCAAGTTCGAGTTTTTTGGCCTTGTACCTGCGATTGTCCCAGCTTTCGTAGGGCATTCATATCACCGCAATAGCCGTCCTGCAAGCACCGTGCTTATCCTCGTGGACTCTCTCAGTAAGGTAGTTCTTAAAAAATACCAATTTTCAGTTTAAGAAAGCGCCAAAATATTTTTATGCGGTTGTAATTAAAATAAGCTTCTTCCCATTCGAAAAAGTTGCGAAAATCCCAAGAGAGGGAACCAATACGCTTCCCTTCCAGCAAGGCCAGAGAGACACTGTGAATCTGCTTTGTCTCTCTCTTTGGGATTCCTCCCTCCAGCTTCCCATCCGAGAGACTATGGGTTGAGTGGGACTGACCCCAATTGAAGGCAGCAGTCGAGAGTGAACTGGAGATGCTGGCGGATGAAAAAAGAAAAGGGGATGCTGAGGGAAGGGATCGATGTCCAGTGCATCCAGTGAATGCTTTGAGACAACTTCGTTTTCTAATGCTACCATGTTTCTTTCTGACCTGAACTTGATATTCCTCTGGACATTTTATCGGACGTGGCTTTCCTGATACGTTAATTTTTTAATGCATAGCCTAGGTTCTGATGATGGTGATCTCCTGGTTGTGTCCCATGCAAGGATGCATAGGTGCTTCAAGATGACAAACCTTGTTCATCAGACTTCTATATACTTCCTACTGATTTTCTTGACCCTACAGATCGATGAGGGGGGATTGAATCTCCACATCAAATAAAAGCATCTTACAAGCATTTAGTTCACAGTCTCATGGCTGGCATACAGTAGCACACGGTCATCTATTTACTGCATTGCCATGACCTTTTCCAGCAAACTTTCCAGTATTGGAACTGTTTACCAACATATTGGACACCAGGCAGTTCAGGTGAAGTTTTTTTTAAAAAAAATTTAATCCATGAACTATACAGGAGGCAGTGTTCAAAAGGTTCAAGCTAGTAACCGGGCGGGATCACAAAAGTAAGGTAAAAAGAAAGGGATGAAGAAACGCTCCCAGACTGACTCACACCTTCATTCCTTTCACTCAGAAACAAAAAGCCTGAATAAGAGGTCACACCACATTGTTCGGCTCAAATTAAGTCACCAGAAGGGGGAGCCTTGATTTCATTGTTTAAAACTGACCCCAAAATATTGAAAATGGGGGAAGCAAAAAAAAAAAAAGGAAGTAGGAAGGAAGAAGCCTATGTAGCCTCTCAGAGACTGAGATTTCCTGAGTGCTTGAGTGGATTCAGGCGATGGCGGTCCGGTCTTCGATGTCCATTGGAGCATCCTGTCCTCCTTGGGCTCTGAAAAAAGGAAAAGTGGATCTTTGCAACAGACTTTCATGCTTCAACTTCTGTGTGGAGGAAGGGATGAAGAAGACTCACTGGGGTGGACTTTCCTGACTTGGATGGATTTGGCTTCCAGTGTCCACCTGTTGACAGAAATAAAACTTTGATCATACTGATGATAAACTGATGTTTATCTCAATGAATGAGAAGTTTCCTCATCTCACCATGAAATAAATATTCTCGGCCACTCGGAGATGAAACTTTTCCTCGCACACTTGCCGCAACAATGCCAGGCCTGTGTGGAGAGGAATCGAGTCAGCAAATTTATCCAACTTAATACAGCAGGAATTTTTAATAAAGAAATTACTCAACACTGCAAATGAGACCTAATGGTCAAGTACTATTATGAGAAGAGAAGGTGAATGGATAATTGATATAAAAGTGAGACCTTGTTCCCGTGAAGAGGAGAAGCGGTGCTCCCATGCATCAATGAGGAGGTTGCTGTATCTTGGGGAGGAGAAAAAGCTGTGATAGATGTGAGACTGTGGAGAAGGGAAGATGCGCAGGAACCGTCCCCGCAAGGCATATTCATCCTCATGTATGATGAGCTGCCTCACATCGTGAGGGGTTAGCCTCAATAGGATCTCACTCAGATACTGTATGAAAGCAGAAGGAAATAAAGCAGAAATTTAAGGAGCTGACCTTTTGTGATAACACTGTTGATGGAAATGAAAACTTGTCAGGTTTTGACACAATTCTCTCCTTTCTACCAAGAACCAACACTTTCTGGACCATGAAGCACAGATATCAACCGATAAGACAATATTCATTAAGAGTACCCCAACCCCAGTGGCATATGGAATTCATGTCTGAATATGAGATTGACCTTAGAATAAAGGAGATGCAATGAGTTCAGCAATCAATGTAAACAACAATGCAAGGAATTAAATTCAAGGAAACAAAAAGCCTCTGGAGACATTTAATCTACTTTCCTTTTTCCCTAACATTCCTTTTTGCTTTTTACTTATGCTTTCTTTATGAACCCTCAGCCATTTGACCCCTTTCCCTGACTACCCAGATTAAATTCCATACTTGGTAAGGGTCAAATGAAAATTGTCCCAATAATGCCTGTACTGTATGATACGCTACAAATGGTGTGAATTACTGACCTGAGCCCGCTGAGCATTTGCTTCGAAGTGCTCAATCTTTGTAGATTCGACTGATGACAGCTTCGTAGAATAAAGTGCAGGGTTGTGGCAGACGGTTTCCAGGACATGATCAGGGAAGAAGTCCTGCTTCACCTGTGCCTGTTGTTCAGGAGTGAGTTTGTTGGGAATGCGGAAGAGGACCATGTTCATCATGTCCTTCACCAGCCCACTCTTGATCTGCTGGTCCAGGCTCGACGTCGAGTGGAGGGATGGGGAGATGTTCACCTCGAGGAGCCATGGCTTCAGCCGCTCATCGAGCATGATGTCGAAACCGAACAGCTCGTAGCACGAGTAGGCAGACTTGACGAACTTACAGCAGGCATCGGTCACCGTCTTCTCTGCCGTAATGATCGTCTTGGTCACAATGTCCATGATGGATGCCCACAGACGCAGGGTGTCTTCACCTTTTTCCTCTAGCTTCTTCCACAGACACTGCAGGGACCTGAGATGGAAGTATAAGATAATGCTAAGTGATGTCATGGTATGCCTAAATTAAATGGAGCTTTATTTGTTTCATGTATTGTCATCAATACCAGTAGATACTAGATAATGACTGGCAATGCTGATAATTATTTCATAAGATTATTCCTGAAGGCCCACCTCAATTACTCCTCAGATTGCCAAGCACATTCATCATGGCACCCATGAGGGCACTACATGCTATCACCAAGGTAAGAATATCAGAACAGATATTTCATTTATAAGTCAAGAGCTTATTACTTCTGTTAGTTCAAGAGCAGGCAGTTACAGCTATTTTGAGCATACCAATACCTAAACTAAGCTAAGAGAAAATGAGGAATAAAAAAACAATTTACTGGCAAGGCAAAACCTGTATTCATCATGGCCTCTGGCCAGCCAATAGCAATCAATCACATCATTTTCTTATTTTCACCAAAGCCACATTTCATTCCAGCACTCTAGAAACCTTTGCTCTTTGAACATCCTCCAACCATGCAGTGGAGAGAAGGGAACCCAAGTGGAGGCAAGATTTAGGGGGCAGTTGAACTGAGTAGAAGGAAATTAAATTTCAACCAACCATTTGTGTCCCTTGCATTCTTCCACTCGGTCATTTTGGACATAGGACTCGCTGTGCTTGTTGATGCTGTAGTTGGTCAAGTGGATGTACTGGTCGCTCAGGGTCTTAGCTGCTGGTGTATATTTCTCTGTCAAGAAAAATTAATTTCCCATCACAAAGAAGTATTTATCACAAGTCAAAGTGGCTTCACGAAGAGAAAAGAAAACCCACGAGATGCAAAACGAACGAGTCCATCCTCGTAGACATAGATGCGAAGGGGGCAGAATGAGGTGACCAGGACATAGATGCGAAGGTCAAACTTGGTCCCATCCAGCAGGTATGGCTTTGCAACATATTTTTGGACAATCATTCGCTTGTGAATCGGAATCTGTGAGAAGCGATTCACCACTTGGATCCCAATCCCTCGTGCTGATGCAGGCTAGAAAGAGAAAACCAGTTCTAGGATGAGATTCATCAGCATACATATGACTGTTCAAAATAAACGAAAATCAGACACCACAGCAATGGAATATGAATTTAAAAAACTAAATATGCTTGCAAGTTGCATTTTTTCAATAACTAAATTCTTTGAACACAAATGAATTTATTTTTGCAATTTCTAGGAAAGAGTGACTGTTGGCCAAGGCATTACATGAGATCAATTATAAAACATGGGAGGGAAATGAAAAAGGAAGTATTTATCCTATAACCTCTACATCTTTTGCACTGGCCTCGAGGAAGATACTCTGCAGTGGGATGGCGGGCCAATATTTTTCTAGCATAATTGTGAAAGGAAAGAAATGACTCAGTTCTTTAAATAAATGAATGAAAGTGAAATTCTTACAGGCTTGATGATCCAACGGCACTTTGCTCCTCGTTGGTCACAGATGCTTCGCAATGAAGCCAGATCTCCAGGGAGGATGAAGGTCTTTGGCAAGTAGTTGAACCTTCATGGAAAAACAAAAGGGAACCACTGTAACAACTTGTTCAGGCAGCCTTTTGGAGAGAAGGGAGAGAGAGAGAGAATGGGACACACTCCTTGGTGAGGAATCGGCGTCGGAAATCACGGAAGCAATGCCAGAGCCGATCCTTGCGCCCAATCACAAACGTGCCAGGAAAGTGATTGATCTTCTCTGTCATCTGGATGTTCTCAAACATCGCCGACTTCACATGCCGACCCCATGTCCCGATCCATGGGGTTCTCAACTTGTCTGCTATAAACAGGGAGAACTTCAGCTTAAATATCCACATCAGCAGCAGCACTTTCAAACTTTGAATCATGATGACACCATTCAAGTTGCACCTATTTACATGAAATAAGCAGAAAGAAAGAAATCATTTCAGACTACATTTCTTTGCATATGCATAATTCCAAGCATTTTAACCCTTTCAGTTGCATCTCCTGATGCCCAGAAGATGCCAATGCCTTCTTGAGGAGGCTGGAGATTTAAATTTTCATCTGGCAGTGAAAGGGTTACAAGGCCAAGCAGTACCTATAGAAGTGAATCATATTTAACTCTCACAAGTCAATTCAAACATTCAATCTCAAGCATCCTTTGTGCAACTTGAACCTCATGTTCACTGTATCATTTCACTTCATTATCCATGGGCTTTACTGGACCTATTTCCCCGAGACCAGAAAGAGATGTACCTCGGACAAGTTTGATCCCGGAGTTCATCAAGATCTTCCTCAGGACAATAGGTGTGATGTTGCTCAGGAGCCACTTGAGGTGCTTGCGGATACAAAGTGGTAAAAGCTCCACTACATGCAAAATAAGGAAGACTGATAAAATATCCTGCTTGGGTAATTGTGGACTAAAATTGTTAAAAAATGGTCTCACCCTTCATCTCGGGAATCTCAAAATGGAGGGCAGGAGGAACGTGGGGGAACAGACTTGCAGTGAGAGCTTGAACCTCCATCCCCAAAGTGCACTGTGCTGGTATTCCATTCTCTTCACCTAAACCAAAATTTAGAGAATATGCATGAGTAAGTTTGACTAGCACAGATGATCCTACTCCAAGTCAACACAGTCTCATTACATGGAATGAAAACTGCAAATATGATAAGTCCATGGGATCAAGGAGAAGATGAATGCAAATTAAAAATTTTATATTTTGGCAAATGTATTTGGTCCCTTTCACTGTACTCTTTACACGCTCTTACACAAACATTTTTGCATCCATCAAAAACCTACATATTAGCTCTTTGAATTGAAAAGGACTTGTATGGTCATCTAAGATAATCCAATCCAACTCACACAGATGACTCCTGGGTGGAGACGAGGGTATGCGGTCGACATAATCTGTCTCTTCCTCGCTGTTCACCCCTGTGACCTCACCCTCTTCCTCCTGCTTCTCTGTCCCCACCCCAGACTTCTCCTTGCTACTGGAATCATCACATTCACCCAACTCACTCCCTCGAGAAGACAGTTCTTGAGCTGACACAATCTGCACTCTTGATCTGATAGTTCCAGTTGCAGGGCATGACAGGAAATCAAAGAGACAACGACAATGACTTCTACATAGTTCAATGCTTCCATCAAAAATACCAGGCAATCCAGAGATCCACTAACTGAGGGCAGGTGTCCTCTAACACAGGTCACTTTTTTTCTTAATGGGTAAAGATTAAGAAAATTTACAACCCCTCCAGAAAATATGAGCAAAAAAAGAACAGTGTGATTAACGTTTGTAACCCCAGCTTCAAAGGATGAATCAATCAACTTGTGCTTGGCAGCCAAGGCATCAAAGAAAAGTGCTTTCTCATAGAAAAAAAAAGCATATTACTCTCCAAGAATCTGCATGATGCTCTGAAAGGAAAAAGAGAGAGGGGGACTAACTTGGTTTTTTTGGGGATAGGGGCCAGGGCAGCCAGTAGATCCTCTCGACTTGGCTGCAACAAAAGAAGCTTCTATCAAGTAAACTTCCTTAGATGAACAAGGACATACTAACTATTGCACAAGAACAGGTTAAAAAAAAGAGAAAGCATTCTGGTGAAAATCTTCACTTATTTACCTTTGCCATACAATATATTTGATGTTTAAAGAAAAGGTGCAAGATGTTTGGACCTATGGTCCTTCTGTGCTACAATTGTGGATAAAAGCAGCAAAATCAATACCTTTGGAGTTACCCGACGGGCCTTGCGGACCTGGCTGAGACCACTGGCCTTTCGGAAGGCAATTTTCCCACAGAGGTGCTTGGAGATGGAAACTTTGGGACTACTCAATTTTGCTTCCTGTTCGCTAGGCAACAGCTCGGGCTCTTCCTCATCTGCAACTGAGTCACTGCTTAGGGCATCGGCATCAGCATCAGTATTGGTGCTCAGATTGGCATTGGTGTTGGCATCTGCATCTGGATCTGCATCTCCAGCATCTTCATCTTGTGATGGAATTGGTGAGATCTCCCTGGCACGCTTCACTTCCAATGGTTCATCAGTGACTTCCACACTGGAGCTGTTATTTCGACTACGTTTCCCTTCCAAAGGACGATTGAGCGGGTTCTCTTTCAACGAACATGTCTCACACTCTTCAAAGGCTGGTGGGGGCTGAAGAGGACGGCCCAAGACACCACAGTTGCCATTGAGCTGTCGCAAGACGGCATCTGGCACGGGGGCAGTTGCCACAGACGTCCTGTAAATGCGGTCCCCTGCCGTTCGCATGTGTTCTGTGACTGGACAGGCAGCCATGGTTGTATCTTATCACAAGGAGAGGTGGGGAAATGCACTGATTTCACACAGCACCAGAAAGAGACTCACACAGGCCAATATAGGGAGATGCACATCTCATACCACACCTACAGATTTTAAAATAAGCTTCAACCAAAGGAGACTTTCATCCAATCACCAGTTACACCTGCAATAGGTAGGAATCACAGCAAGACCTGAAAGTTGAGCATAAAGTGATTTTCAGTTGGCCCATAATGCAGGATACACAACTTATTCTTTAAAAACATGGCAATAATCTTACTAATAGTCTCTTGTTCACTCTGAAGATCATAAAAAAACCATTAAGTTAAAGATATGAGGTGATGATGAACATTGGTTTAAGTTAGTTACCAATACAGCAAAACCAAAAGGAAATTGAAAATAATCTTATATCATGCAAATTTCAAAAGGCAGTTGGTGAGGATGGCTGCAACCAGCCACTCTGGATGAATTCCAACTCATCCAGAGCCACTGATAAGTAGAGGATGCACTTTTGTTGTCAATTATGTAACTGAAGATAATGTAAGTGTAAAGGTACTACCCTTTATATTCCATCTATGGCAAATGCCAAACTCAATAACAGATGTCACCAATGAATGCAACTATCACAGAAGCGGATCACAACAGAATGCAAAAAAAAAACGTGACTTGGGCTGACCTGTCCAAAACAGGTGGGTAACACATGAAATGCAGAATTAGAACCAAGGCATAAGCATACATTTGAGTATAGGAGGATATCTTTGTCAGGTTACATGATAAAGTCTCTAGCATTTGCCAATGGCTAAATGCATCTCTAACAACACCATCTAACATCCAACAGACCTAAAGTATTTCAGATATGATAAGTCACATCTACTGAGATCTTTCAGAAACTCTCCCCCAGTGAAAGAGAGGAAAATTCAAATAGAGAATACGAATCACAAAGTTCCAGGATGCGTCAAAAATGCAAACTCTGCCCATGGACTCAAGTTCATAAAAGGATATGTGAACTATTGTCTTCCTGCTTCCAAAAATGACCAACAGTCAAATGTGAACCATAAGCAACACTGTGGTCTTGATCACAGGCAAGAAACAGGAGTATGGGAGGAAGAAATCACAATACAGGTATCCAAATCTTGAATACAAATTACCAAGGCCACATTTGCATCAGACATTTGGTTAATTTGTCTCACAGTCTCCTAAGAAAGGACATCAAAGAGGACCAGCAACAGTAAAAGTACCTCTATTAATATCAATACACAAGTTCCCAAATTTTGTGGAGCATCAATAATGCTCCCAATAAAAATATTTAGGATCCTGGTACTTGTGATATATATTGTGCACAAGATCCAACTGCAAAATGAGCAAGTGCTGATGCTCACCAGAGCAGAAAAAAAAACCAACAGAGCAAAGTATTCTTTGGATACAACCTTTGCCAGCAGAGGATAAAACTTCAAAACCCTGCCATTTTGTACAAATTGGTAACATATGAATGAGAGAAAAAAATTGCACTTTCCTCACAAGATCCGGTCCCAGTTGAAGTCATTGACGATGTCATCATCATCTGGGCAGCGCTTGATGACCACCTTGCCTCGGCATGCATTCACCCCACGGGATACAATGTTGAGGTGGGTCTCGTTCCCCACCCACTCCTCAGACGTGGTGCAGAAGGACTCCACCTTCATCGGAGTGCGAAAATCTCCATTGAAGGAACCAGAGAGGGTGAGACTTGTGACAGTGGGAGGTGGAGAACGTGGGTCAGAGCTCAAACCAGTGAGAATAGGTCCTGCACTCTCACAAGACCTAGTGTATGAAGCTGATTCTGAAGGCTCACTCTTGAATTCAGGAACCAGTTCAGTCTTGGCCATTTCAGATTCCTCAGAAAAAAGTGACGAAATCTCAGAAGTAGGGATTGAAGTGATGAGGTCATACAAATTCCCAGATTCTGGGAGGTCAGCCGAGGTCAACTGAGAGGGGAAACCAGGCTCCAATCCGGCACCAAGATGATTCTCAGTGGTGTCATTCTGTAATTGCTGTTGCTGTTGTAAGAGGCCGGAGATGATGGCCATGATGTCGGTGGATGACATGCGCCCACCACTCACCAGTGGGTTTCCTCTCGACACAGGAATGCAAACTGAGGGCAAGGATGCTGCCAGGCTGGTCATCAATGGATCGGCATCCACAGATATCAGGGGAAAAGAGCTGATGTCAAAGTTGGACAGCGGCATTGACGGTTGGAGAGTGGTTGAAATCACAGAATATCCCCCTGAACTGCATGCTGAGGCTGCTGGGGTTGCAGGGGAGTTGCTACTGCTGCTGGCACTGTCGACGCTGCACTCTCGGCTGAAGGGTGTCCTCACGTGCTGGCGAAAACTCTGCTCCAGTACAAAGCAAAATCTTACACTCATAGACAGTTCTGTTCTGACAGTTGCCAATTTTTTAAGCTCTTCTGTTTTATTCCTGGATCAATCAAGATTATTCTGTCTGGACTTGGCTGTTCCATTCTATTTATGGAACACTCTAATATCTTCATGAAATGATGCAATGCCATATCTGTCAGGAATCATGTACAACTCAATGCATAGTGCTGATGAGCAATGTTCAGAGCTGCTTGGCTAAGTATGCCATGTACATAATACCAAATCAGTGAGAAGTGCAGTCTACATAGTGAACATTTGCACTTCTCCGTTCTTACTAATATACATGTGTATATGCTTTCCCCTGAATGAATTTAAGAATTTAGTGTTTCAAGCACAAGCAGTCCAAACCAGAATTTTGAGTTGACAAAATCAGGGTTCAACTCTGTTCCTTAGCAGCATCTAACACACTTTCATCCATTTCAATACTGAATAAAATTAAAAGATTTAACATTCAGAATGAGAAGGATCATTAAAACAAGTCACTGAGATTCCAAAGATGAAATGGGTTGATTATTTTCACCACTGAAAAAAAAAGTGTCTGGTCACTAGGGTACCCCATGATAGAAGAAGCTGAAACAACATTTCTTCTTTTTGCTCTCTCTTTTCTAATCCCATTTCTACCTACACACTGTTCACAAGATTGTTTTCTAAAAGAAGTTTGTTTTCCTGTTCATACCAATGATGGAATAAGGTCAGCACCATCTTAACACAATAAAAGCTTTCAAAATCTGAGTCTATGAAGGTACATTTGTAAATATTCAACAATACAAGGTCAGGGCAGCAGTGCATTCCAGCTCACCTTGATGCTGATGTGAGGCCGTGTCTTCTTCTTATCCTCTGCTTGATAGTTGTGGTTGATGGTCCAATAATGCCCTTTCCCTGGGTCATCCCTTGGCCGAGGCAGCTTCATGAATTGCTTGTTCAGGGACAAGTTGTGCCTCACCGAGTTCTGCAGTCAAAGGCTTTCATAAAAACTCAACTTAAAAAATAAAGAGAGGTTGTACAAGTGAAATCTTCTTGCCAGACCTTCCAGCCCTTTGTGGCATTGCGATAGAATGGGAAATGCTCCATGATCCAGTCATATATCTCTGCCAGAGTCATTTTCTTTGCTGGGGAGTTGTTGATGGCCAAGTGGATGAGATTGGCATAACTACATGATGGGCAAAATGTTGACCAATCAGAGCAAAGCCATTCAAACAGCAGGAAGAGAAGACAGAAGGAGTTGCTCTACCTGTATGGAGGCTTGGTGTGGAGTGGTTCACAGGAGTCTCCTGAATCTCCATTGACACATGTCTTCTCATCGGACTCGGGCTTTGTTGCATTCTCCAGATCCAGCTGGACATTGAGGTGGGACAGCCAGTCCATGGCTGTGAGGCTCTTGTTCAACTGCTCTGACATCGTTTTGATCACAGACAAGAACCTTGGACTAGACCACGAGACATCACAAGTTGGACAGAGAGTAAGGCACAGGAAAAGGGACGGAAACGACAGTAGGGGGTCCCAAGCGATCCCATGGGGGAAAGATGAGATCAGGCACTTTCCTGTGTGGATACACAAAAATTGGCTTCAACAAATGTCTGAAGAACCCTGCAAAGAAAGCAGCAATGTTATTTATTAGGAGTTTGTCACATAGTTCATCTGAGACACAAGTCCCAAAGCTTTTGACCTTGGTCAAAGCTTAACAGGGTTCTTCAATGATGATATGTAATCAAGAGCCATCCAAAAACTGACACTGAGCTTTATGGAACAAAATTTATTACTTTTTTTAACACTCTCTTTTCATGTAATCAAATACAAAATTACTTTGAGATAACTCTCTTTATACAAAGGAGAGAAATGCATCAAGGCTCTGTCCTTTGTACGTCACGCGCTTGCCTCCAATGGCCTCAAGCCGGCATCCAGATCCGAATCAGAATTGCCAGATCCCCGAAAAACCCAAAGACCACTCCGATAGGGAAAGAGAAGATAACAAAGATTTGAAATCAACAGAGAAAGAGAACACTGAGCGATGGGTAGAACGAATCTGGCCGTGGTGCCCTGAAGAATCAGGCTCATGTAATGGCAGAGGGAGAGGCAGAAAAAAAAAGCAAAAACAATATGAGAGACAACAGAAGAACAAGGGCTGGATAGAATCACATGTCTGAGATGTAGTCCCTCTCGCCAATGTTGATGCGGTCGGGTGCTGCCGTGACGTTGAAGCCAAGAAGGCTGCTTGCGTCCACCTTTTGCATCTTCCCCTTCTTCTTACTCTTCCCCTTGCACTGAAAACATCAAAATGAAGCCACCTGATAATTAAGCTTGAATATTCAAAGATGCAGCTAGTGCCATCCAAACACAATACAACTTCTCATAAACAGTAAAGATCAGAGGAGTCTTTCTATTCAAACATGAACAAGGTAGTGAGCACTCATCTGGGGGCTATATTATAAGTTCTGCAAAGGTCAAAATTAGCTTAAAAGACATTTCCCCAGACTCATCTGGGGAAATGTATTTCATGAGAATACCAAGTATTCCTTGTTCTCAGGAGCTCAGCTCCTGAGAACAAATTTCACTATGAGGTCTTACTTTGACTTCTTGGAAGTCAGCAGTGTTGGGATTGACAGCAGGGGCCGGGCCATGCATGCTGTCTTCAGGGGATTTCTTGTCCTTCTGGGCATTCCGCCAGTTGCTCCGTCTTTCAAGGAACTGCCGTGCAAAGTCCTGGGATGACTTCCCATCCCCAAGGTATGACCGCACATAATCATGCACCTCGTATGGTGACTCCACGTCTTGAAGAAACCCCACAAATGTGGGTACTGCATGAAGCAGACAGATAACCAATTAGAGCACTTTGGCTGCAGTCTTGTGCATTGTAAACTAAAGCCACAGTTTTTAACTTGTAGTCTGAGTTCTGGTGTTGTTATACTGCCCTCACACCAGTGGTGGAAAAATAGATGGATATGGGGGGGGGGGGGGCAACTACCCCTTCCCCTTATGGCCATCAATTTTTTTACATTTAAAAAGCACCTACACTAGTTTTTATTTGGGCCTGTGAAATAGATATCCAAGTTTTTATCACAGATGAAAAACTGAAAAGGTGATAGAACGGTGCATGGTGGTAGGTGAGGGGGATTACAGAAACACAGGAACTGCCCCCCACATGAAATTCTCATTCCCAGCACATATGAGATGCCAACACCTGCATATGCAATAGGTAAGTTACCAGGGCAATGCAGGGAGCAATGATACAGAGTGAACCTGATGTTAAAGTGGCTTAGAGCCTGCAGCCTGCATGGTCTGATTTAAAAGATGCACTTTAAAAATCCCTTGGAGCAGAACAGCATGTGAGCATCATCAGATAATGGGTGAGATGCTGCATTTTCTACAATCATATTCATACCTGTGGCATTAACTCTATGCTCGAGTAAGCACAAAAAAATACAGCTCTTACTATCAACAGAAGCTTCCATCTCAGTGAGGGCCTGATGGCACCATTGAGTGAAGGGATCTGTCTTTGGCCTCTGATTCTCAAACAACCTCATCACCATCTCCTCATCCTTCCTGGATGGCCCACGCCTCCCTCGACCCTGGCCAGATGGTGGATTGCCCTTCTGACTTGGGTTGGGTATGCTTTGTGAAGCAGATGCCATATCATTTCCCCTCCCTCCTCCAGATTTTGATGTGGGTGGATCCTCCCAAAACCCTATTAGGTTGAAAACCCAATAAAAATCCTAACTCAATCCAACAGGAGAACGATGGGAAGATATTGACCCTTTGAAGGAGTGGGATTGGATCCTATGGCACCCCAGACATTGACTGGAGGGGAATCATTTCGAGTGCTGTTCCAAGCCCCTGATGCTGCCTTGCTTGCCCAGGACAGGTTTTTGGATGCAGAACCCCAGATACTGGCTGTGGCCAGTGATAAATGCTTCTGGCTTTCATGCAAAGCTTGTTCTTGCTCTCGTTCCTATGATAAAAAAAAAATTGGATAACAGATACATTCTTCAAAGTGAACAACTAGGCAATAGAAAAAAAAACCACTCACCTTAGTCAGTCTTTCCTGCTCTTCAGCCTGGATTTCAGCCAGGCTCTTGACAGCTGCAGATGCTGTGGGTTGAGTGACCCAGCGCAGTGGTACCTGCTGCTGCTCCATCTGTTGCTTCTGTTGCTGAAGGAATAATCGATGCTGCTTCCTCTGCTGCTCTTCCTGTTCCTTGACCCTAGCCAATGCTTCTAGTTTCTGTCTTTGCTGAAAGAAAAATAGGACGAATACTTAAAAACCAGCACCATCTGCACACCGACAGCTTTATGCCACTGTGAACACCGATCAAAGAAGAAAATGTGAGCAAGTCGAGCACACCTCCTCTTCTGTGTGTTGAATGTGGAGCAGGGATGGGGCATTGGAGGAGTTGGAATTTCCCCAAGCAGACAAGGCAGCCACTCGCTGCTGCTGCTCTCGCAAGTGCTGCAGGGCTTCTCTCTGCCTCTCTTCATAGTGCCGCTTCTCCTCCTCAGCAGCCTCTCGTCTTGTTCGCTCCTCCTCTAGCCTGATTGAGATCAGCAGAAAAAAGACATGACTTCCTCTGAATACCAATACTGCCTAATGGCACATTTATTATGGCAGGAAGCTACATCACTTTGGTGAAACATAGTATTATTCATTATAATGAAGGGGCAAGGGCAGTCTCAAGGAAAATGCAAAGGGAATATATATGTAGTGAATACTCATAACACTCCTTTAAAAGTCAAATTGTGATTAGCATTTTAGGTGCCATCAGATGATCACTCTGAAGTGAATTCAGAAGGAAAAGCTGCCCTGCTAGCAATTCCTGGCAGGTGAAGCATTTCCTACCCATCTACCCATAAGCTGCTATGGCATTTATGGAATGCTTTTAAGTGAATCAGAAGTTAATTCTCATTCACATGCATCTTCTGTCAGTCCACAGAACAAGACAAAATGAATGCCTACAGTCACAACAGCTACAGTTTCTCAGATGTTTGCCATTCCAGATGGTGAATCTGCAAGGGCCCCACAGTGCAAAACATAACTGCAGATTAAGCCTATATTTCCTTCATTTCAGTTGATATGAGACACTATCATTAGTCATGCAGAAGAAGACTCATTTGTGTGATTGTTCTGACCTCTTCCTTTCCTGATCTTCCTTGCGTTGCTTCTGTTCCTCCATTTGTTTTCGTTGTCGCTCCTCTTCTTCCCTCCTCTGCTGCTCCTCCTCTTCTCGCTTGCGTTTCTCCTCTTCTTGTCTTTTCAAAGCCTGCATAAAAGGAAAGAGTGAAAAGCCAAATTTCACAGAATTTTGAGTCCAGGGGCTTAGGCTCACCTCTCGCCTCTGTCGCTCCCGCTCTCGCTCCTCCTCTTCCTTCTCTCGTCGTCTTCTTTCTTCCTCTTGTTTCTCCCGCAAGATGCGTAACTGTTCTTCCTCTTGCCGCTTCCGTTCCTCGTCCAGTCTCCGCATCTCCTCCTGTTGTCTGTCCATGGAAGGTGGCATTATTACTTGTCCCATTGCTCTTGGGTCATGCATCAGCAGGTGTAGCTGCTTGCACTTTGGGTAATTAAGAGAACAGGAACAATTTGATTCAGTGATGGGAAGACACACCTTAGTTCCTCCAGTCGACGACCCTCCTCTTCAAAGCGCTTCTTCTCCTCCTCCAACTTCCGCCTTTCTGCTTCAATCTCCTTCTGTTTTTCCTCCAATTTCTTTCTCTCTTCTTCAACCAACTTTTCCTGGAAGACATTGAATACCTCAGTCAGAGGAGCAGGGTAGTGGTTACCATGCTCATTGCAACTGCTGCCCTGAATGTATTGCCTCCTCCATTATAGACATCCTCTTCAGCAATTAAATTTTCCCTTCTTTTGAGACTCTTCTCCACCCAGAAACACAAACATTGCACATAGCACTGACAGTAATGACCTTGGTGCTGGAAAGGTCCTTGAATGGACTGTATGAAGGAAGAAGATGCAAGTGCCTGGGAGGAGTCTCAGGATACATGGGAAAGGGGGCAGGAAGTGTATCATCAGGGGAGGCCAGAAGCAGAAGGGGGAGGAGGGAAGAGGGTTTAGCAGGTGACATCATGCAAGGTTGCTGCAGGTTTGGCAGCATGCTGAACATCAACAGCAGTGGGTTCTGCTGAAGTGATTCCACATGCTTCAACGCCTCTACCCGAATGACAACAGTGGGAATCTACTTCCTTGCTTCCACTCATGATGCACCCTTCTAACATTGCAGTTTGCAAAAAATTCGATCTCTTCAAAGTTTCCATCAGTTCAATTTAGATGCTCAGATCATGTAAAATGTGAACATAGGTTCTTACCTGAGGGGTGACTGCACCTGAAATGCCTTTGGAAGCCAGCTGATGCAGAAGGGATTCAATGGGGTCCACCTGAGTCTTGGGCTCTCCACCACCCTTCTGCTGTAGCTGTAGATGATTCATAGATCTTTGCCAGACCAAGTATGACAAAAATAAAATATATACTTTTAGAGTTTCATTCTCTTCAAAAGCTGATCAAAGGCATCCATAGATCAACATCTAGTCACTTGAATATCCATGTCAATATCTAGGTGTTACTAGAGCTCCATTAATATGACTAAATTTGGATAATCTTCCTTTGGTTTTTCAGTATCTGAATTCTTTGTCCAAAAGGTACTCCAAATAAATGCAAAAAAAAAGATAAATTACATGGTTAGCAGACTGGAGAGGAGTACCTGGAACAAGTGCTGCAGAGCTGCATTGGGTATGTTGGCAGAGATGCCAAGAGGATTGCTTGTGGGAGGCTGCATAACTTGATTGAGCAAAGCCATGGGGTTCAGTGGTTTCCCAGGCCCCGTTGATGCAGCAATAGGGCCAAATGATGGCACCACACCAGGTAACCCTGGTGCAGGACCTGTTCCACCTCCAGTGGCATTCAGTGTCATCAAGTGGTTCCGCAGCATCTGTTTTTGTGAGAAGGCAATACAATATTCGATAAGAAGTTTGCTTGAATGAATTTCCACATCCAGGTTGTAATAATTTTATATGGAACAATATTATACTTCTTTGAGATCCAAGAAGATGCACTTCATGAGATGAAAGTTCAAGTAACAAAAAGAAAATATCTGAAAAGTATGTTATTCATTACATTGTATTTTACATTAAAAATCTACACAGGAACATAAATCCAATAATGCCTTCAAGAACATATGGGAGTTTTCATTTTGCCCACTGACAAAGTTCAAGTGCTTCCAATTCTAGAATTCTCTCTGTTCCTTGAAATTAGTCTGCTCACAAATTTGGTTTACCACACCCCCATAAAAGTAAATGATTTATACCTTACACATCTGTTCATGTGATCCACTCTACATCAGGACTAAGTGTGGTCATTTGACAATCGAGATCCTCTGAGTGTTCTGAAGGGATAATGAGAGCTTGCATGAAATGAAATTAGCTGATGAATTGGCTAACATCTCCGGGTGACAGTAATGAGAGCAGAAGTGGCTAAATTTTGTTGAGGTGGATGGACACCATATTAAAGTGTGAAGGGCAGAGGCTTGATCTGAAATAAGAACTCCCAAATGTCCTTGATGACAAAGGATTTGTTTTTTATGTTTCCATGCAGTCTTTGGTAATAAAAAAAATTTGAGCAGGCAGCCTTTGTCAATAGTTACACGAAAAATAATACCTCCCACTTGTTTAAAATTTTATCCTACTTCCTTGAGCCATTAATTATTTCACATGCTTCAATGATTACATGTTCAGATGTGGCACATGCTTAGCTTCTCCCTTCTTTGAGCTAACCACCAATTGCCAGAACACTTCTTGTCCCAAGGCATCACCTGGCACTCCCTTCCTCCCATCATGTCCCTTGTAGGCCCATATCTAAGGGCTCTGATAGTACATTCCAAGGAGGGTTTCACCTGAAATGTTCACTATCCAATTTGCTTTAAGCATGCTTGGAATCTGATGATCCTATTTTTGTCTAGCCCAGATTTGGAGACCTATTTGACTATTCCCATCTGGTAAGCTCAATGCCAGAATAACTATCTCCTACAAACACAATGGAGTAAACTACATTCAACTCCTACAGCCTACAGTCCCACATGATGCAATAAAATCTTATCCTGGGTTACAGCCAGTTGGGCCTATGTATGTATGGTCCACTGAAGCATAATGCTAATGTAAGCCTAACTGAATGCTCAGGTCTACAACAAGACAATTAGTGATGAGCATGACAGGCAAACAGATTCATTGCCATTTCAGTCACTATACTGAATTTTCTTTGACATATGGGTGCCATGCCAACTCATACAATAGAACATGCATTTTAGCCCTTCAAGCCCGTAATTTTAAATGGCCAAATATCCCCTGTAACAGTAATATGTTTGCAGTTCTATGCAACAGCATAAGCATCAAGTAGGAAACAAGTTCACATAAATTATGGATAGAGTTTACTTACTACCAGTGAGATTTCATAAACACTACCACACTGAGCATCAGTCACTTTTAACTCACACAGTAGATACACCTTAGTGAATGTCACAAGTTACATTAAACTTGCTTGAAGGGTTAACACAGCACCCCCTCAGATTTGGCTGGAATTTGGTATGATGAATATTTAAGGCCAAAACCATCATATATAAAATTTTAGTCTGAGGGCCTCAAAAAATGGTTCAAAATTTACAGTGATGTCAAATTTAGAGACTTAGTCTGATGACTAATATAAAATATCTGCAACTTGGCAACTATTTGACAGAGACATGACCCAGAAGCCTTTTTCCTGAAAATTCCAAGGGCTTCAAGAATACTGAAAAATAGGTATTCAGTGGAAATCTGAATTTATTGACCTTTAACTAATTGTTGACCTTGAATAAGGTCATATTGGACTCTGGATACAAAGTTGATAAAAGTTACCACATGAAAGGTGGGTTCAGTTCCAAGAAACTGTAAATGTTTCAGAGATACTGATAAAAGATTTTCATACATGGAGAATCCTACTCTGGTATGTTCTGATGGGAGCAATCATTCAACTCATTTTAACCCTTTTGGGACTACAAACACATCATAGTGTTCATTCATTTTCATGAGTATCAACTGTGACATGGCCTTATGTATGCACCCATTCTTCCAGGAGTAACATGTATTTCAGAAATACTAAGGTAAGAAACTTTTTTACATGTAGATGGAAAATGTGCCCTGAAACAAACCTTTAATCTCCTATTTTTGGGAACTTGGTATAAGGACTTCAACATGGTTAGATGTTACAATATTCAGTTATACACTATGTCCCCTTTTTATTATATTTTTGAAAGCATTGAAACCAAAGTACTTGCAGAAAAATGACACCAGAATCAAATCCTTATGATGAATGGTGTTTAATATTCAGGCCCTCAAAATTTAAAGGTAGTGTGATGACATAGAAAGTTCACCACCCTGTAACTTTAATGTCATTGCTCATCAACTAAAAATGGATAGAAAATAAATGTTACTTATAAAGAAACTGCATGGCAAATTTAATTAAAACCTGAGGAGGTGCTATGTTATCCATTGGGCGAGTTGACATGGAATTACCCATATGTTCAAATTACATTGTGGCAACATGAGAGAGAAATAATTTCACCCTCCTTGTGGAACAAACATGCAACAACCTAATAGTGCCATATCAGAGGAGTGACATTATGTGCCTATGGGTATTGGAAGGGACTGTGGCTGAAAATCCAAGTAGAGGTCTGCTGGGGTGGATGTCTTACTGACAGCTGTGAAAGGAAGATGGCCCAGTGCCCCTCAAAATATAAATTATTGGAGGATTCCACTCCGCCACTTTCCAACAATCCCAACTGCCAATACCGGCTAGTATCCAGTATACAGTAAAAGACCATGCATCTCCGTAAAATTCCATTGGTATGGAATGGAGAGTGGCATACCAGCTCCTGCTGCTGAGGAGAAAAGGAAGACCACCCATCCATCTGTTGCAGTTTGGCCAGGAGCTGTTGCCTACAAATCCAATTCCATGTTGATGACAGCACGAACATGAATGCCTTCCAGAGGTGCTAAAACTCCTGGACAGGAGTCAAGACAGATGCTTACCTGAGGATAAGCTGTCTTTGCAATTCAAAATGGGTATGATGTGAGGAAGTGGGGCCAGGGCTCGCGGGTGCCATGCCGTGAGATATGGGGACAGAGCCCGGGTTTGAACTGACCAGAATTTGTTGGAACACCTGCTGCTGCATCACAGGATTCACCTTCTCATTGAATTTGTTCCCTGGCTGACCCTGCTAGTGAAAAGGGAAGTCATGTGGCATGAAATTTCTCTCCCAAAATCTGACACACATGCAATCTTGGACAAACACCAAGAACCAGAAGCACAAGGAATCACCATAATTTCATGACATCGCATCATGGAGAAACTCCAGGCATATAAACAAGTATTTTACACTGGTAATGCCAAAAGAAGTCTGTACCTGTACTAACTGGAAATGATCACTCCTGGAAAGGACGGCTCCAGTACTTGAGATATATACTGAACAGAATGCCATCTCATGAGAATATCCCCATAAAATTTGTGCAATTGAAGGGTACCACGATCCCATGTGAAAATATGCATGCAGATTGCAATTGTTCTGCAGAATCTATATATCAAGCCTTCAGCTGTCCTGAAAGAAAAGGGATCATCAGTGTCGCTGCTCTTGGCTCTTAATGTGTTCTATCTTTGTTGACCTGGTTGTTACCATTTCTCTATATGCTTGGTGTATCTCCATTAAAAGTCTGCAGCAAGGTGGAATTACCTGAGCCAGATCAGCAGCTCGCAGGGGAGGCATAGGGGGACCGGACTTGAAAGGATTACGACCCCATCGAGTGGCAAGTTCGGCAAGGGATACAAACACTTCATCACACTCTCGGCGAACAAGGAGTGTTGATGGGAAGAAGCCCATGTTCAGCCAGTCCTCCATATCTGAGCCTGAGAATGGACCTGAACAAAGAACATTTGCCCTGTTACCTGGTGATACATGGTGAGTAAAGAAGAGCAGAACATCGGACTGACCCTGAATCTCATTTTGTGGGTCCCTATAAAACCATTTATCCATCATCACAGATTGTGCAGAGTTATTGGTTGCCAAGGATATGAGAGGATCAACACGTCTCTCCATTTTTCCTGATTCCTCCTCAGGCATAGTCACATCGGCGAGGAGATTGTCCACGACGGCCAGCATTTGGTCCATGTGTTCTTCCTCAAAGCCTGCATAGGTTCGTAGGGGTGCGACCCCAATGATGCCACTTGACACTGGTCCAAAGATGGAGTCCATGGACTCCCTGGTCGAAAGTGGCACCGGACGAGGCACACCGTTGCTGGGATCACCTCTGTTCGATCCAGGGGGCACATGAGGCTCATTAGATGATTGACTAGATTGCTTCGGATGAACGGGGACTTCAGTCCCTTCCCTCCTCCTCTCTGGCTCATTTCCTGCAGGTACTGGTGGGTCTTTCCTTGGAGTCTGTGGCACAGGAGATGCACTATGTGGAGGTGGGGCACTGTTCTTCGGTGGGCTTTCATCAACTAGGTCTTCCTCCCATTCTCCTTCCCACTCTTCTTCTTGGTGCTTCCCAGAAGGCTCTTCATCACCATGCCCCTACATTTCAACATCAAACTTTGTAAAACTCACTCCCTGTCACCTCTCCAAAACCCTCTCATAGTGGACCATCAAACTCCCAAAGAAAATTATGGTTCAAATAGTAAGCGAAAATTTGATCTTTATCTCCACAGTTTCTTTTTAAGCCAATACTGAACAAGTTATTTCCAGCCCATTTACCATTCCATTTCCCTTCATCCTCTTTAAATAAGCCATCATTCTTGTCAGTATTGACATTACTAGGGTGTGTAATGTAGGTAAGGTCTGTACTTCCTCAAATACTTTTTTTTTCTGTTCTCCTGAATCTACAATGAGACTTACCTCAGGTGATGTTCTGACTAGGTATTCTCTCTAAATCTGGGTAAGATGTGGCATGGTTGTCGTATTTATTTACAGGTGGAAACATCAGTCAATTATGATGCAAGATTGATGGCATCAATTTCTTTGAAAGTGCCCTAATTCATACTAGTTTTGAAAAATGCTAATGACAAGAAACTCAGATAAAAAGATATTTACACATACTGTGGATGCATATGCAATTGTAGTTATCAGTGGGACATATCAGTATTATTGGACAGCTCATCTTTAGGCAACACACATTCAATCATACTGGTAATGGGTACTAACCTCATCATCCCACACTTCCTCCTCTTCTTCCTCTCTTCTCTGCCTTCTCAGCTCATGTTTCTCTTGATCGAGGTCATCATCCTTCGAGGGTGCATGGAACGAGCCCGAGGAATCAAAGCTCCCAACACCCTGATCATCACTGGCTGTCCATTCAGGCAGCTGCTGCCCCCGACCTCGACCCCGACCAGTAAACCCTCCCCGATACGATCCCCCACGACCTCTTCCGGGCACTTCAAAGTCTCCCCGTTCTCTCCAACTTGTGCGACCTACAAATTTCAACTTGTGATATTAGCAAACACCTCTGTGACATCCAGAATAGCTCATACAGCTTGATTCACGCACCCCATTTGTCACGGACAACAGTGCGCCAGGACCCCCCATCATCATCCTTTGAGCGCCAATTATCAGGACCCCGAGGGGTTCCTGGTGCACCTCCTCGACCTCCGGAGAACTCAAATGGAGTTGTCTTCCTAGGACTCCCCACTGGTGGTCTCTCATCAGGACCATTTCGTTCTGGCCAACCTCTCTCACTAGCAGACTGAAGTTGAATCATGCACTTGATTCAAACATTCGAACCTTGCATTACCAGACACAATAAATTAGAACAATTGAGAAATGAATAGACCTGAGATCTTTCAAAGAGAATGCTTCGGCCTCCTGGTCGTCGATCCCATCGACCAGACCCCGGTTCGCCGTTGTCATCATCAAACTGCCGAGTGCCAAAGGAGGGATGGAAGCCCCCTCTACCACCTCTCCCTCTCCCTCTGTCCATGCTTCCACCCCGCCCTCTTATCATGTTTCCCCTTTCTCCTCCAGCAGACATCATGCCCCCTCCACCTCCTGCACTCCGTCCCATCAACCTCAGCACTGCATCACTGTTTACTCCTTGCTGCCATGCCATCTATCAAGAAAATGTTGGGAAATTTCACTCATCCTTTGTATATATGGTTTCTAGATGAGCATAATATTACTGTAATTCAGAGATTCTACTGTACTTAACCTGTTACAGCCCAGCATTGGGATTATGGTGAAGCAAGGGACATTGAGTGTCTGTCGAAAAATATTAATATCTTAATAAAAATTTTTAGGGCTGCTATAACCCATTGATTCATATAACCCATTAACATGACAATGACCAATGACCATTGACAAGCATGCAGCACTTACCACAGTCTCTATTATTGAGAGAAGGGTAAACTTTTCCAATTTCAAAATGGTTTGACAAGGGCTGTTAACTGACAAGAAGACAAGTCAGTGCAATGGGCACGTGCCTTCTTTCTTTTTTATTGCCTTCTGCATCATAGCCATCCGATGATAAATAATTTCTGGCAAATGTGTATGTCATCACCCTGTGCCAAAGCAAAAGGACATGAAAAGCTTTAACCTTGATATGATTATATACTTGGGTCTTTTGTAGGGGCATGCCTTCTAAGTAATGCTCATGGTTCAAGCTGGCTAATGAACTCTAAAGTCTTATTGCAGCAGGGATGGAAGGTAGGCACAGTACAAACCTGAGAGAAATTAATTAATGCACAGAGAAGAATGGCATCCAAGCTTGAGAGTACTCAAACTACCTCAAAGACATCCACAATGGTTCTGGTGACTTTCAGCCACTTTTGTAGCTGTGCACTCCTTAGATATTAAACCCTTTGCACTCCATTTTCCTCACAACACTATGGACATTGTTGGGCCACACCCAACAGTCAACCACAAAAGATTAATCATATGGATATGTTAGAGAAGTTTTCTGTAAACCCAAACCATTATATTTTCAACTACTGTTACTGTAACCATTACAATGATCACCAGATGCTGGTGTAGATGGCGCTTTACAGTTACAAGGCAACAATTAAAAAAATCAAATGCTCCTCACCATTTCTTCATCACTCATTTGCAGCAAAGAGAGAGGTGGCTGAATCTTCTCAAGAACAATGTGTGGGCTGCCACTGAGGATGTCATCTGGGGGCCTTGAATCCTTATTATACAGGACCAGCATCTCTTCTCTGCCGTAGCGATGTTCTGCAAGTTTGTAACGATTCACTGGAGGCAAAGGACTTGGTGGAGAAGTTGACAGATTAGATGGACCACTGGACAATGCTCGCACCCTACGCAAAATAATCAAAGTTGGACGCAATGCCTCCACTTGTGCTCACAGAAATAAAAAAATGGAAGGAGAGTAGTGAACTTACCACTCAGGCCCAAATTTCAGTCCTGTCTCTGTCATGCTTTCTGCTGTGGGATATAGGCTACCTATTCTTTCAAAAACAGATGGTTCTTCAAGGTCCAATAAGGGGATGTCCTGGATGATTTGGGCACCCAAGATGATTCAGTATAGAAACAGGCAAACAAAGCAAATCCACAAATGTACTACGGCAGTGGCTAGGTACTGGTACTTCCCCTTTCTTCAGAAGGTTCAACTGACTCTCTGGACAAGCCACACCTGGGAAATCTCAATAATAAGTTAATCCAAATAGGGATTATTGTCTACTAACTTAGCAAAACCTACACTTTTCTTTTGCTAAAAACATCAATCATACTTGTCATAGGATGCTAGCAGAATCACATTAGTGGCTAAATGTAATTATTATTCCTAACGCAACATTGATCCTTAAGCGATTACCAAGGAGATAACACCAAGGGTGGAGAGAATGAAACTGACTTAAGCCTAAAGGAGTTTTAAACCTCCTTTAGCAGAGCTACAGGAGAGGTCTAAAGGAGGTTTAAACCTCCTTTAGGCTAAAGTCAGTTTCATGCAATCCACCTCAGAGAATTACCAAAGTCAATCAAGCACCTAAAGTATTAGAAGGAGAGGACCTTTGAGATGATGTCTGGTTGCACAATTGAGATATACCATTTGCTTCAAGATGATCTTAAAAGCCCTCTTCAGAACATCTAGTTCAAGATAACTGATGCAATCCCAAACAGTACAATAGAAGCGGTTGAGACTTAAGTGGGTACAATGACAAAACATCTTGTAAAAAATGTCAGAGTTCCTGAAAGCTTTCATCTCTGTCAAAGCCAAAGATCTATATCTTTCACCATCTCCCATTTATCAATTTCCTATCCCTTTTTAAATGTATACACTGTGTATACACATTGTATACACTAAATGTATCTGTACCCTCCCTCATTCAAGGCAAAGCAAATGAAAACACAAAAGATACCTTTGTTTTTGGGACCCTTGATGTGTCCTCAAATATTTGAAGGTGGAAGAAAGGATAAAAGTCCTCCAAGAAAGGGGAAGTAGAGCAGAGGAACACAGAGAAATGATTGCAAGACAAAAACTTCCTGATAGCAGCAAAGACTAAAAGTAAAATGGATTATTCCTCCAGGTATGGAAATTTAAATCTCCTTTGTATTCTTCAATTTTATTTTTAAGGGCTCAGGATTTGGTCCTTTTTATTGCATCTTATGGTACAAAGAGATTTTTCTCACGTTACTTGGATGCAAAGTTTTTTAAAATTACTTATTGGTCCAATCTTGGCCTGTGGTGAAGAAATGAGACTTTTCTCTACTCTTTCGAAATGGGTGATTAAAGGATTATTTTTAACCACAATCAAGACTTTCTACCTTTAATGAACCAACAATGACAATGGAAATTTCACAACTTTTAAAATTAGAAATCTTCATTTTGTACGGCACTGACTTATAAAGGATATATTATTAAATGATTCCCACCCTGAGTTCTCACAAGGATATTCACCACAGAAAAGCATATTTTTCAAGAGTCTAGTACAGGGGTGCACAACTCAAAAGATTGCAAGGGCCATTTGCATTTTTTACTCACCTACCACAGGCCACAACCTGGCTGACCATAGCTGTAGCCAACAGGACAGGAGCCATAGTAGCTCTTACAACACCATCGGACCACGAGGGCCGTATGTTGTTGGTCTAGTGCCTGGAGCTGCAGTGATACCTGTTTTCCTGCTAATAGAAGTTCTGATCTTGATATATTCAATCATGTTAAATCTAAATCGTTACATGTTCTTTTCATAGCAGGCTATTTAGAGAATCCAGGTTTATGATTGAGTCTTATATATTCATAAAGCCTGGTGTACAAAACAACCATTCTATTTAAGTCTGCAATTATTTTTCTATGACAGATGATTTAAGATTTTCACTAGGTCTAAAGGGTATGGCTTATTTCACTTGATAGTCAACCAAATCCACCAATCAAATACCACCTTGCTTTCAATGGCATCAGATTGATAGATTGGCCCAAGACCTGTGCACTGGTATACACCATCCCTTGGTTGCTTACCACAAAATGATGTAATATGGGCCAAAATGCTAATTTAAAAAAAAAAAGATCAACATATGTACAAGGGTAAGTACAATTGCAGGAACAGAATTTTAAATTTCAATTAAGATTATATCATAGTGTACACTAAGCTTAGGCCTAGCCAGATACTGTTATCAGCAAGCCACCTCAAGTAAAAAGAAAAAAAAAGTCATGAGTACATATACCAGATAAGGGGGGCACAGAGTGACAAGGATGAACTTGGAATGAAGGCCAATACCTGATAGCAACCAATACTTCATTGCAGCTCATATTACCTTCAGCTGAAGGTGCTCAGAATTAAGCCAACTAATATTCAAGCCATTTGAATGAGCATCTCTTGAAAACAACATCTAGAGACTGATCAATGAGTGGTATAATAGCATTTACCAAGACAAATTATTCAGAATTTTAATGTTTCCATTGGTGAATGATTCAATATGGTGACCTCCAAAAGAGAGTGGACAGTGAGGGTCTGGTCATAACTGGGTGCCTTACTTCCATCAGAATACCCAAGTTTCCTTTATATGAACTGGATAGCAGAACAATGAAGTAGACCTGAGGACAGCTTCATTTGGTGAAGCTACTAGCATTGTCCCCAGTAAATAGGTAGCAAAGTCAATGTTATTTGCTTTACAGAAAAGCCTGACTAGTTTTGGGTCTAGGAAACAGATAACTATGCTGAATAACTTGTGCTAGGCATAGTTCATTATGTCAACCATCCCCTTTCCATGAAAGTTTGGTCAAGTGATTTCATGCCCCACAATGCAATACACCTGGCTTTAAAGGCAATCTGGAATTGTGATGAAGCAATGTGGTCTTTGTCTTATAGGACAAGTGGCACGAGTGAGGAATTTTTTAGAATAAGAATGGTCAGCAGGACAAATTCCATTGTAAAAATTAGGCAAAAAGCCAGATCAAAACTAAGTGAACTGGTCCTGTAAAAGCATTAAGTAACTGACCACTAATCTAGTCAAACACAAAACTATTAGCTAACCCATGCGACACCAGACAGGTTGACGAGGTTGTGATGAGATAAGAAAGCAGTAAGTTACAATGTGGATTTGGGAGAGGGGCTCTAGATCTATCCCTACCTCATCCAAGAGGCAAATGACAACAAACTTCATAAATATAGGAGTGAACAAAATAAACTACCAGCCTATGTCTATTCTACTGCCTTGAGTACAAAGTCATGCTTCAATAATTGAATCTTCAATGAACATTAATAATATTCCTTCAAGTGTACCTGGCTGTACACACATTCATACTATACTTACCGATCCTTCAATTTGCATACACAGTTTTCATTTCATTATCATCCTGTGCTTAATGTACTTTTTCGTGAACTTTTCCAATTGGCCAGTGCTAATCAGATGCTGCCTTTTAACTGGTGACTTCTTTTAGCAGAATCTCTTGGAATCTAAAAGGTATTCCTTCGTCTTGTGCACACTGTCAAATCCTGTGAACACTGCACATAAACCTCAACTTCATTATGTGCACACTATTTCCCGATAGGGACAGACTCTCCATTCCCACGTTCAACGCGGAACGCGCTGCCCTACGTAACGGCGAGTAGGATAAACGCCCAGTAGACCTTGTCGCCCACGCGTAGAAGAAATACCATTGCCTTTTCCCTTCCAATCAGGCATTGGTATGCCTCAGATGTATGCGAACTTCAACTTCGGTATGCCCGAATGTCTAGCCTTTTGTCAGAATGCGGAAGTTTCACTTTTCACCGGCACTCCCCACTCACATTTTCACACGCACAAAACTCCTAACTCTGTTCGTATCTGTTGAACTCTTGCAACTAAGGAAAATCTGTTCCCACAAGGGAGCCGGAAGGAGTTAACCGGTTTTTGTATAGGGCTACATCACTTCCCCCGCACTATCACCTTCACCTCATCCGAGATTGGGAGGGTGATGCGTGATGCCTGCCTATATAAGCTTAAGCATGTTTATACATCATCAGAAGTTCGAAATCGCCGAAGAACGGCAGTCCGTGATTCGGATATGGCCACTCTTATCTTCTCACCTTCGGGATGATACTTCTGCCGTTCAGTGCGGCGGAACTGAGCACTGTTTTGGTCGGAAAACTTCCTCAAAGAAAGCCCTCCGGAGAGCTAAGATTCAGCGTGTCTACATGTACCTGCTCGCCGTTACGTCGGGCAGCGCGTTCCGCTTGGGAGTCTGAGAGAACAGCACTCCTAAAGTGACGGTCATGGGTTGTAGTATGTGCACGTACGACACCCACAACTGACTAACATCACCTCTAGCAGTGTGGATGATTGGTGTGCACGGTACAAAACAAGGTGTGCACAAGACAAAGTTTGTGCAAACTAGGTGTGCACAAGACGAAGGAATACCGTCACCTCAAGCAGCACATGGACACAAATATGGAAAAAGGGCAATGGGCACTTATGTCCTTTTTCCAAAGAACACCTCAATTACTCTTAGATGCAGGGACCTTTAGCATGCAGCTCAGAAGTAGATCATGGCAATAGTCATGTTATGAATAAATTCCCATTATGATACTCAATAAAATCCCTCCCTTGTTTTTCAAATGTAATGGTCTGAACTTTAATGTTCCTAAAATTGATTCCTACCATATGCCTTCATTCTATTGCTATACATTCATATTGAAGAGATTGCTATAGAAACTATTCCCTTTTAAAAATAGAGCAACAGCTCACCTTTCGAAGCACAGACACATAGTTCTGTCGAAGCTTCTTGAGTCTCAGGAGGTGAACTGAGTCAAACACAACATTATCTTGGATCACATGCATCTTTTCCCTAATCCACCAGAAAAAAAGACAGGTTGAGTATGAATAATCTACTCATATTGAGCATCAAAGAAATTTGAATAGTCTCACCTAAGGCTTTGTGTTGCAGCGATTGTGCCCTGGAGTCTATCAATGAGAATGTCATGGGATGACATAGCATGGAAAAAGGCCTCAGACTTTTGAGATATGTGCCTGGCTATGTTCATTTCAACTACATCCAAATATTGTGATAACTGAAACAGAGATTAATTGCAATCAGTGTGTTTTCAGATTTATTTTTCTCATTCCTCACAGAGAATGCCTACTCACCTCTTCTTGCCAATGAATGGAGGAGGTTTTGCCATCTCCTGCATCAGTGGAACGATAGTTGGCTCTCAATACGAGTTGAAATGTTTCAGGTTCAGAGAGGTCAAAAGTGGGCTGAAGAAAGATCTTGGGTATCACACTGATATTTGGTAAACCTTAAAAAAAAAAAACCCAACAAGAATGCAGTTCTTGAGGCAGAAGGCTAGAAATGGGAAAATTATTGATTCAAACACCATGGTTGTTCTGAACTGAGCTGTACCTGAGCTCTGGTTGTGACAAGGGACTAATGAAGTAGACTGTGCTGAATCAGAATGAGTCATAGAAAGCTTCTGTTTCAGGTGCTTCTTGTACCGTTTTGATGTCTTCTTGAGGTAAGCAGTGAAGTCTTCCACTTTGATTTCAGGTAAGAATGGACAAGAAGGCACCTCCTTTTCAATAAAACTCTCTCCCCATGTTTTAGTGAAGAGGTCCCTCTGGAAGCAATCAGGAAATGACATACGTTAGATCTGAATTTAGCCCTACAATAATGAATAGGGAATAATGACACACAGAGCACAAAGCCTAACCATCTCCTCTCTATGTCTAGCCCTCAAGTTTAGCTTTCTACATACAGTGGATTCATAAAGTCCTTCAGTATTCCTTTATTTTCAGGAATAGTGCACAACATATCTCCAGAAATATTGCACTTAGTGTTTTATAAATTAATTTGGAAATGGTACAGGACTTGGGGTTCAAGACAAGGGTAATTTAGTGCATCTGTATTATGCAAAGAAAGCTCAGCAAAACTGGCTGCACTTGCTCTCCAATTAGAGCAGGACATGCTGCATGGCCACTGGTAAATAAAGTGAAATAATATTGAGATGCTTCTTTGAACTCCTTCATGAAATTCTCTGAGCAGGAGACCAAAATCTCCACCAGTAGTAATTGCATTCAGGAAGGGTAAGTCATAATTGTTTATCATTGTTGAAGGAGCAGGGAATGATGGTTCAATGACTGTTCACTCCATTTCTCATACTGGCCCATCCCTGGGACTGATTCACAAAATTCCAAGAATGCAGCTAAAAAAAGGTCTCCTTCAAGATTTAAATTCATAAGAAACTTATTAATTAAAATTTGTGGTATCAGGTATTTCTATCTTTTGCTTATCAACAAATGTGCCCATTTCTGGATGATGTATTGTAGATTGACTAAGCCTAATTTTTAGAGGATCCCCTCATGGATCCCCTCAGACACAGCAATATGTACGGTTTTCAGGATCAAAATGCAACTATGAACAGATCTAAATGTTTTGCAAATCACCATATGGTTTGCTTTTCCACTACAGAACCATTCTTTGAAAGAGGTGCAACACCCCACTCATGGATTTGTTTGAAAATTTTCATATAATTAAACTAGCTGTCACCAGTGAAATATAAACATTCTCTTACTGAGAATAATTGACTTCCATCCCATAGCATTCAAATGAGACACACTGCGAAGTTTTGAACAGCCATATTTTGGATCAATAATATTGGGTGTATCCCATCATTCGGTCCATCCCATCCCCATTTACATTTGGCATTTCTGAGCTCAGCAAAGGCTGCCTTATCATATACATTTATATTTTATTTATTCATTTGCATCTGTATTTTTTGCGTGCAATTACTATTATTATTAATTTTTTAAATGTCAACTTTATTCTTGGTGCCAATGAACCAAATACTGCTACAGTGAGGTTGAAGCCTCACTACAGCTCGATGATCACTCCATATCCCATGATCATTCAAGGATCTTTGAAACTGCCCTCCAAGGAGACGTCTCTGAAATTTGTAAGGCCTTGTCACCATGCAATTTGTCCAGGTCCTATATGTTTCACACATGTTGCTTTTTCATCATTTATAAATGGAAGCTAAGCTAACCAAGTTACACCTGGAATAGACAATTAGGCACATAATTCAATAATTGACAGGAACAGTAAGGATTTTTCAGGGCAAATAGAACTTAACCTCATGCCTGCAGCAAGGCTATAATAATAAGGGTAGGGTAGGGAGAGGTACAAGATACATTTATTGACTGGGCTTCTGTGGCCAAGTGGTTCTGGCTTCCGGGTGGCAACCCGGGAGGTGAGGGATCGAGTCTGTGTGACGGCAGGCTCTTCCTCTGCTGACAGGTGACCCACCTGCTTTCCTGGGGAGTGTCTCCATAGCATGGGGATAGCACACATGCCACTCTGTGTGCCATGTCTTGGAAATACAGGTGTAGTTCGCCTTAAAAATCACTCATCCCAGTCACAGGCTTAGGCAACCTGTGAGCTGTCCTTTGGCCTCCTAAAGGACCATCGAGGGGTGTCCTCACCTGAGGGACTGTGATACCCATGTGGTGCCCATGTCAAGCATGCACCCCCTACCTCTCTGTGTACTGTAATTGGTCCGTTGTCATTTGTGTCTGCTGCATGTCCTTTATATAAAAGATGATTAAACACTATATATTAATACTAATACCATGTTGTGTCCTGCTTCCTCTAAAGCCTTTTTCCTTCACATCAGATTATTATAAGCATCTAGTCACTCTTGACTCTTAGACATGTCTTAACCAGCATATGAATGTGTCAACTGGTTGACTCATTCTTCACACAAGTGAACACTTGTTTTTTTCACAGCATAGTATGCCAGCAAGCCTACTGTTTGCCTCATCAAGTGAAGCCTCTTCTAGTTGAGGCATCCTGTCAGAATCCCAGTCCCAAGCCTACAGTATAAATTGCAATACCAGGCTTAATTGGTCTGGTGGACACCAGGTGGACATTATGTAAGGTACCTTGACTGGGGCAAGTGGACACCATAACTAGTGGTAAATAATTTATTTTCAGCTCTTATTCTGCCTGCAGTCATTTTTACATGCATGAGCTATGTCTTATTGAACCTCTGCAACAGGCATGATCTCTTCTGAACAGTTTAACATGTCATCCAATCGAGCAACATCTGTTGTCTCAATATTACTACTTCTAGCTAAATAAGCGACAGAATACTGTTTTCCAGCATGAACCTTAAAGAATAATAACGTAGCTTTAAATAATAGTTCATCTATGTGAACATGCTCTTATGGCCCATAAACCAGTGTAGAAGTCATCTGTTCTTGTCCAAATTAGCAAAAACGTTTGCAATTCGGCCATGGAACTGTCTTGCCTTGCCATCTGTCCATCCATCCTCAAATGTCATCCAACATTGCCCTCTTCTGATCCACCCCCTTCCAGGGGCACTGCAACACTCACCATCACCATACCATCATAACAGGGGGGAATTCCATGGCATTCACGTTTGTAAAGGCTACTAGCTTGGTGTCCAAATAACCAATTTGGTGCAAAGCAGGTGTCCACCAAACCAATGAAGCACACAGTACCTAACAGTTAAAGGTGGCTGATTGCTTTTGCTGACCAAGAGTAAAGTTAAACCCAATCTGCTGCACTGAAGCTTATCAATAAACTTCACAAACAATAAATAACATTTGCCTTTTACCTAGTTTATGACATAGATCTGTCAGTTCATATTTGTATGGCTATGAACCCACTCAATAGAGGTAACTGACTTTCACACCAAAACTCAGTCTGTGAGACCATCATTGTGGCAATGCCCACTACCCCAAGTTTTATAAGTCCTGGTTGTGCCCCTGATCTAAAGGCCTAGGCCTCTGTTTCATCTCACATAAATATAGGCGTATCAGAAATTGTAAGATTTCCAGCAACTCGGGGCTCACCTGCTTTCCTCTCTTGGGATCATTGAGAACAGAGGCAAGGTTCTGTGAGGCCAAGAAGACGTTCCACTCTTTGACATTCCCCATCTCTCCATCTAAGTTTCTAATAAGCCTCGATTTCAGAAAAGGATCGGCCTTTTGCTTAGACCTTTGAACTTGGTCTAGACTTATCGTTACGTTATGATCCGTCACAGTTGCGTAAGTTACAACGTTAAATAGTAAGCAATATGCCTGCGTTATCTCCTAAAAACGGACTAGCATTTTCTGAGGCAACCAGTTCACAAAAAATCCTTGGACGTGACATATTTCCAAGAGTCAGTCCAGACGCATCAGCACCGGCATACGAGGACACATTGATCCGTAAGGTGAGCTTAACATACACGTGCAATGTGGATGGAACTCAACGTACGAAAGGACTCGCGAATTGTAATTGGGGCTGCCATCATGGACAGAGTGTTGCCAAATATTCCGTATGATCAAAACTTGGTAATTCCATGTCAGATCACCTAATTTTTGCATGATTTTTGGCTCGCACATCAGCGATTTAGCTGAACTTTGGTTCAGAGTTAGTCTTTTGCTCAAAACCATGACTTTTTTTTCTAACCAATGGTTTGTCCATGATGAGGTCACAAAATGTGAGCCTCTTATTGCTGGCCAAGCTGACCTCTACCCGATTTTGTTGAGTAACTTATTTATTTGTCCTAAGCGGTTCCGGTTAGACTTATCTTAAAGACCTCCTTTAGCTCTATCTTTTGCTTTCCTTTTCAAGCTCATATTCCTGTTTATACCCTTTATAGAAAAAAATGAAGGTGTTTGACTTTTGACCCTCCATATGTAATGTTTAAAATTCACAGAATCTAGATCATAATATGCAAATAATATGGTGAAGCAGCTCATAAAATTTCAAGAGGCTTTTTGTACCAGTCTCAAGATATATGCAGAATTGTTCTTGACATTTATTGTTTTGGGTACTTCAATGTCAGATAGCTATATATCTGATGGATTTTTTGCTTCGCCATTATCGTTTTGGCTGATCTACATCATACTATCGAAATGACGAGTTAATGCAGCTAATAAATCTTCATGATCAATTTTTCAATCAGTCACGAGTTACGTACAAATTTCCAATCCATCGAATTTGAGGTACAGGACATCCTGTCATCCTTGAAGACATGCGGAGAAAAAACTGATGACATGGCCTAATCAGAAGACCAAATATGTTGTTTTCTTGGTCATCCTCAGATGACCCAGGGAACGGAAAGGGAACATCGATAAGGGCCACCTTTAAAGAGCTGGGTTCATCGGGTTCGAGAGTGAATTTGTTGGAGTCAGTAAGACCGAGTTCATACTCGTGCTGTACAACACGTGCAACAGCGGCAAAATCCAATCCAACACTGGCATGTTGCATTGGATAGCCTGCAGTTGCAGCATCCAGCATGCTGTACAGCATGAGTATGAACTCGGTCTGAGTCATTTGTTACTGTTGAGTAGTGAGTCTGGATTGTGATTTGGGTTCTTCTCTCTCCGGATCAGGTAAAAATGAGATAAAAGGCAGAGACGTAGGTGAAAGGTATAGGCATAAAAGTTAAATGCTTAAGCTTTACAGTCCTGATTTAGTAACGGCTTATGTTCCTAGCTTGATTCCTACCTTTTTCCCCCTTCATTACATTGCGTTTCATTTACAGTATATAGTTTCCTGATGAACTGAGCCAAATCTTACCTCCCTCAACCTCAATCTTTGCATTTCCATTTCTCTTGCTGTGCCTTTATTGGAACATGAGGTTCAAAATGAAATCAGAACATAAAGACAAAAGAGAGCTTTAAAATGAGCCCATGATACTCATTTTAGGACAGACAGATCAAAAGTTCTTCAAAAGTAAGAAGAAAAAAAACGCTTAGAGGTCAGCCATGTAAGTCATTTACAACCAGGTCAAGCAAGCTTTCTGACCTGGTCCTTGAGAAAGCCATTCGTCAGAATGAAAAATGGTTTAGAGTCGTTGACTTAAACTATTTCTGCACCACACTTCAGCCAAATCGATGATGGTGGAGCAACAAATTATTCCCGCATCTATCTGGCATTTAGCTACCCGAAACTATACATGTCGAACACATTTTTTGCACATATCTCGAAACTGGTACCAAAAAAAGCCTCTTAAAACTTTACGAGTTTCATTATCATATTATTCCGTACTAGGATACAGATCTGGTGAAGTTTAAACATTCTATATTTGTATATGTAGGGTCAAGAGTCAGATACCTTCCATTTTATACATCAAGGGTGTTAAAATAAATATAAGTTTGAAAAACAAATCTGACGATAGATAAGAAACAAACATTTAAAATGAGTCCATACTAAATAATTTAGGATCATCTATAGGGGAAGATGGGGCAAAACGGGGCAGTTCAGGAAAATTGCCAAAATTTAGTACAAAGGAGTTGGCGTAGCACATTGCGGATTGGTATGCGGTATCTTTCATGTCTTACCAACGACTAGGATTCAACTTCATCGTGAAATCAGTGACGGTTTTTTCCCCTGACAATTCTAAAAGTTGTCAAATACCAAAATGGGGTGCCTCTGCAGGGCAAAACGGGGTGCTCCTCAAGATAGTGTTTTACAATGTTTTTATTCATAACACATACCTATTTAAGTAGGTCACAGAACAGAAACATCAATGAAATATCTACAAATAGCAAGTTAATTATTATTCACATGGTTTCCCGTGTCTTCATTTTATGCCAATTTAAAAAGTTCACAGAACAGAGACCACAACGAAACATCCACAAATTACAAGCAGATGCTTTCTCTCGCTCCCAATGTCTACATTCTTACTTACAAAGGTGAAAGAACAGAAAGAGCAATGAAACATCTACAAATAAACCGTGTTTTTTTTTCTCAGGTTTTCCCATATTTTCATTATATGCCTAATTACTAAGGCCATAGAACGGAAACAACAATGAAACTTTTAAGGCAAAAACAAGTGTTGCTGTTCCAAATTGTTATCCATGTATTCATCATAGTTGCAAATTTAGCGAAGCCACAGAAAAACCCGTCCTCATCCATGTCGTCATCGATGCCTGCACAATTGTCATGAGCCGAATTTAGGTGACCCAACCTTCACTTGGTTTTGGGAGAGAGAAAGAATCTGAACAGTAACACGTCGCGTCAGCCTGAGCCTCACCATGGTAATTGATATTCCAGCCAGAGGAGAATGTATATATAGAGCCGCTATACTGTCCCATTTTGCCCCCACACCGTCACCCCGTTTTGCTCCATCAGCACCGTCGATGATTAAAACACTGCCAAACAAAAGGTGAGTCAGCTATGCCATGAAGTATGACTTCATGTAATATTCGCATGTTCACCTTCAGACAAAAAAAAAATATCGGACGCCTCCAATGTTCCTATGTTTCGCTCATAAAAAAAACTCGAAGCAAAATTTAAAAAAAGTCGATTTTTTCTTACTTTGCTCATTGGGTTTTTACAAAATACTTCATAGAGCGCCGCCGTGCCTGAAAACTTGCACCCGTGGTAGGGGGTTATAATAGGGTAGATAACCGATATATTTTGGGTGAGGTTTAGCTAAAATCTGAGTTGTCCCGTTTTGCCCCTCTCTCCATTTTGCCCCACCTTCCTTTATAATAAAATCTGCTGTGGTCCGTGGACGTTGTGGTTGGTGGCATGCAAACATGACACGACGCAATCGCATGTGCTCTGCCATAACCAAAGTAAAATGTTCTTGCAGCGTGGCCAAAAGCCACTATCGTTCGGAAACGTGCGCGGCGAGTTATGATGTTCGCAGAGCAGCATGAGGCCGCCAATAAAAGCCCATATACCACATTATCCTTCAAAACGAAGATTCAAAGTTAACATCTTGATCTTTAGGCTGCCCTTTGTCTTCGCTCGACGTCAGTTCCCCGTCCACCCAGCCTTTGCCATGACGATTAACGAAGCGCAGGGGCAGACCTTCCAGAAATTAGGGATGTCTTTTCCGCGCCCTGTCTTCTCACAGTGACGGATCCAAGGGGGTGGGAGGAGGGGGTGGCGACCGCCCCCCCCCCCCCCCCCCCCCCCCCCCCCCCCCCCCCCTGGGCCGGTCCCCAGGGGGGGGGGGGGGGGGGGGGCCCCCCCCCCCCCCCCCCCCCCCTATGGCCACGTTCGCATTTATTGGGTGACATGCACCAGATCCGTTTAACTTTAAACTGATGCGTTTTCATAATGGGCGTGTATGGGAATAAGTTTATCCCTGTTAAACTGATTCCCGTAGGGGACCATTGTGAGATAAGATTAGTTTAGCTTAGACGGATCCGGTGCATGTCACCCATTAACTTTTAACCTAACTAGTGTGTAACCCGTGGAAAAGCACAGAAGAATTAAAAGGCATTCAAGAAAATCGTCTAGAAGTCAAACAGGTCAACCACAAGAGGTAAAAACTTTGTGACCTCGCTCTGAGCAAACCGTTTGTCAGAAAAAAATATCATTTGGGATTTCATGTTTTTGTGCGAAACACCAACTCTGTACCAAATTTCAGTCAAATCGATGATAGAGGAACAACACCACTGGTCGATCTGACGTGGAATGACTCAATTGTCACTTCTTACTATTACCTTATTACTATTGCCATAGGCATTATTTTATCGATGTCCTTAAATGATTTTCATAAAAATGCTAATATTATATAAGGTAATATTGGGTAATTGCCTCTGCTGGTCGAACATCTCTAGTATACTCGACCTGTGCCTCCTTAGACTGTGGTAACACCCCAAGTAGCACATAACATCGATTCAACATGGATTTAATGTTGATTCAAATTCTGGATGTTGAATCAATGCTATGCGCTACCAGGGAGCGTGGTTGTGGTTTCATTCATCGTATGTATTTTCACAGTGGAAACTTTTCACACAATGCACACAAGATTGATTCAATTTTAAATTTTCCGATGAGTGGATTTCATCTTTTTTTCTATGAGGTCTGCCTTTCCCCTTCTGATGTCTCTGTCATCTCGTGACTGCGTTTGGTAAATCGTGGGGTTTCTGTAGATGACCTCAATGCTGTCCTTCACTGCAAGAAAATATGCGTAATCGTTTTCGATCCATATCTGGTTATCAAATGTTTGGTATACTGAGAGACGTGTCGCCTCATAGAGAATCCCTACGCCGTTACTCGTGGCCACGTAGAATGAGTAGGGGGCATCAGATAGTAAGCTATAAACGAGCCTCTACTCTCATAGAAGTGGGGTCACTTAGGTGAACATACATTCGGTGAATTTCCATGCTCGAATCTCCTGATAGCAGAGGTACGTGGGGTAAAGCAGGGCAACGAAGACGATGAGGACGATCACCCCCGCAGGAACGCCTCTCCCCCCTCCATCCCATTCTGAAGCGAACAGGCCAGCCCTGCTTCTGTGGCCTTTCTTCGAGTCCGTCACGATCGCGTTTCCTGCGTCGGCCGTCTTTTCTTCTCTCTGCTTGCCCAGACTTCCCGACGCAATCCTGCAGAGGTTCTTCCATGTCTTGCGCGGTATTTTTCGGTGACATCGACACAATTCCTGTGTCGATCTGGACAAGTGCTTGGCGTTCATATAGCTGGTGTCTTCGACTGCCGGCCGTTTTCTCACCGAACGATCTCTCCCAGTAGCACCTGAAATCTCACTCCAACAGCATTTAAATGCCTTTCTATGATAGCATTTACGAATAATCCGCAATAGGAGTACTAACGTCTCGGAAACGTGCCCTTCTGGACGAAGGAACGCTCAGGAGGCGGAGATCGGGAAAGATGGGGACCTTCGGTAGATTCCCGGCGGGGAAGCTGTAGAATTTCCCCTAACCCAAGTGAGGGCCTCTCATTCTTTGGTGACTGCTGCATTTTCCATATTTCTTATTTAAAAAATTCGATCATGATAAGGGACGTGTTATTGCATGGATGTCACGGCGGCTCACCACTCTCAATCTTCTAGAGATGTAGGGTAGATCTGAGGCGATGTGTCTTCCATGCGAGATCTCATGGAGAAACACTAGGAATAGGAAGCTCAAGATTCTCATAATCGACTGGATATGAGGAACCTTCTCCGTGACCAAGCAACCAATATTCCATCTCGACCCTTTGTTTTCACATCCTCTGCCTACGATCTGTTTCCATGTGATTTAGGTCCCGGAAATTCAAATTTTTTTGTCTTTCACTCGTCTGTAGGCGACCGAATTCTGTTCCATACTGATGTCATGTTTAAATTTCCACGGTTCGAGCTGTTGCCGAGACGTACTGTTTCGATCCACCCAAAAATTGACCATCTCGTTCATTTCATCTACGGAATCTTCTATGACAATAATGATGTCCATTTGCGCTAGATTTAATTAATTTCGCTTTATCTGGGGGACTCTCGGTAGCACTCGTATTCTAGAACCAGAGTGGAGAGCCTTCAATTTGATCCTCTGTTCTCCAAATTTGTTCGATTCAAATTTTCTGTCTTTTGCGAATGCCACGTCATTCTTGACAGTTCGAGAAACATCCCTCGAATGCGGCACAATGAATCCAAGGCAAACTGCTACGATTATCAGATGTGTCTTTCCGTGCATCGTATCTTATAGACGTCTTGATATGCATGCCCCATGCATTAATAATACGATACGATACCAGGTAAAAGGTGCTCAAGACCCATGAATGCACCTTCGCTCTGGAATCCTAGTAAATCTCCCCTCCACCGTGACCTCATTTGAAACGCAAGTAACCTCAAACCTAGGGAGACTGATTTGGACCGAATGTTATCCCCTCCGGGGATGCGCCACTCGGCTTTCATCGCTTTGATTCTTTCGGTGCCGCTCGCGTTAATGAAATGCCTAAAATGTGAATTGATGGAATGAGAATACCGAGTGATGTAATGATTCATCCATCCCTTTGTGTGAGTATCCGAACACCACCGACTCCATAGGCCATTGAAGAGATGAATTTGGCATCAAATATATGGAGGCGGCCAAATGCCTAAGACGCCCATTTACCGGAATGCTTTATCAATCCCCCCCTATGCTTTATCAATCCAGACATCTAGCGTCGTTTCCGGCCTTTCCTCACAGACGGCCTCTTTCTCGAAGTTGACACTTTCGGTCTTTTGAGAAAACTGGGAACGGGGCTTAGCATGCTTTTCTTCCGTCCATTTACTGTATGTTTTGGGGTCGTGAAGCAAACCAGGCTTTGCCAGTCTAGAGGGGATCGTAATGGGGTCATTGTGTCTAGACAATGCCTTATAAGCAGCCTAGTGTTTCTGTCAGTTCCCTCGGCGCAGATATTACTTCTGACGAAATTATGTGTGCTCTTGGTTGTACCACGTACTAATTCTCGTAGCAAGGCACAAAGCCCAAACCTGCAAAAAGTCGCGTTATATAGTCTTATATGGTCAAAAGAGCAACAGCCCTCATTGGCTTCACAGGGGGAACATATCCGGCAAATATAGCACTGAGACCTACTTCAGTAGTTGGGAAAAGCTTCTATTGACTGTGATAAAAGAAGCCTATTTCATTCCATGACTATCATACCCTGAGGGCATCTATCATGTATGCATTCTCTCCCCAAATATGACTGTTCAATATTAGGTGTCTCCAAGACAATTCCATAGAAAGTTCTTTTTTTTCCTTTTTATTGAATTCCAGGAGGAATGTCACAATAAAATATGATTGCATTGAGGATAAATACTGGAAGCATCATCTAGGAGCTGCCTTAGCCCATAGGCGGAAAGTTTTGCTGGGAGTGAGGCGGGGGACAAGAAGTCAAAATCCACCATGACACGAAAAAAAACGAAGTTCAGATGGGGGGGGGGGATTTGAAGGAAGGTGGAAGGGGTCAATCGTATCTATCGACGTTATAATCGGGCCCTATCAGAAACAAGATCTTTTCACTCTGCTGCAAGCAACGTCCGGTTTAATGGAGGTAAAAATAATTTAACCTTTTCAGCTGTTCAGTAAGTCCTTTTCAGTTCTGGTTTGAAATTGAATATTGTATTTCAACAATCTAGATCCGCTGTTTCCTACTTCATGATAGTATCCATCGTCCATCGAATGTTCGGATTGAGGCAAAAGTATGTTTTCGATCTACATTTGTTCACCAAACTGGCCCATGAAGGCGTCTTTAAACGTCGCTTGCAGACTTAAATGACAATTCAAAATCCTCAACTTGTACGAGGATGGGATCCACGAATTAAAGAAAGGATGAAAGACAAACGGAGGGAGGGCGATCGACCCCCAATAACGTCGATGGGCAAGACTGACCTAATCGTTTTTCTGACAGTGGGACAGGAGTGAAGGAAGGGGGAGGTGGGTAAGGGTGGCAAATGCCTTTTTACCGCTTAACCAAACCGCCTCTTGACAAAATTCTCGCTCTCGTTCGCTACGAATACCGTCTCTTCGTTCCGTCCTGTTGAATTCGTTGATGAGATCGTCTTTTCCTGGCATTGCAGGCCCTTATAATCTTCTGGACAGAGGCATTTGAAGTCTCCTTCCTCTTTGGTCAGGCTCTCACACGTTCCTCCATTCAGACACGTTCCTGGATGCGTCTCGCAGTAGTTCAGTTCTGTCAGATTGAGAAGTGTTTGGCATTCTCTGTATCTCTTGCATGTCGTTTGAACTTTGCAATATACGGAAGAATACGGGACTCCTTGACTCACGTTCATCACAGAAGAAACCACTCCATCCTGGCTTGCAAGTGCATTCCCATGGTTTGGCACAAGTTCCCATCTTGCACCCGGGATAAGGAACGCATTCATCGCAGAATTCGCCAGTCCAACCAACCTTACACCTGTTATTTGCGTATACAGATCCAGGGATTTCTGCAACGAGGAATTTGTATAAGACCGATGAGTTAGATCTGTGCAAGAAACCCACCTGCAAACTCCTTGCGTCTCGCAGTAGCCATGGTCTGTATTACATCCTCGACGACATATAGCTGAAAAGAAAAGCCATGAATAATCTCTCTACAACTTCTCGTTGGCATGATGGTGACGACGGACGTCAGAAATCTACCAGGCTTTATCCCTACTGCTTCACGGACACAATTCGGCAGTAGAAGCCAATGGAAGTAACAGTGTCCGTGTTCGCGACCTGCTCCATTCGTCCACACGGCGTCGCTTCATTATTTGTTGACTGAATCAACTGTAATACCTACTTCTCGAGAATGATAGAGCCCAACCTCCCCCTTGCGCGCACAGCTGCTTCTTCACCCAATTCATATGATTGCTTATCATTAATGTTGTTCCGCCTAAGATGATCCTAAATTTCCTGTTGGGAATTGGACGTCATGTCGCTTATTGTCCCTCCTCGCAATGGCCGATCGGAGTCGCTTCTAGGTTTGATTGTAAAATAGTCGAAAAATCAAAGTTTGTCTTTCGCAATGATTTCGAAACTTTAATTTTTAAGCCTTTCAATTTTTGTTCGTGATATTTGTCGACTAAAAGCATAAAAAGTCGAGGTAGCAATAGAGACGTTGGCGTGGAGATATTAAAAATGTCTCGTTAGGACTGCTCTTTCTCCAGGAGCACTGTTGGACTGGACTGGGAGAAAAGTGATATATTTTACCTTAACGTGGGGAGAAACTGGCCTCAAAAACGAGAGAAGGATGGGAACTCGATTCCTGTCTTTTCAAGAGGTTTACGCTGCTTGCACTAGATGTCTCTCGTGGGGACTGATTTCATAACTGCAGTTCGGTTCCAGATCCAGTTCAGTTGCAGTTACAGTCGGGATTTCAAGGTGAGAGTTGTCTATATATATAAGCACAGTAGAACTTCAATCAAACCATAGTTAGACGGGTTGGCAATGCAGATTCGAAAGACTTCGGGCTATTGGAGTTCAACTGTGCCCATATCGATTACTCTCACAATGAAATCCTAACTTAGCTGCAAATAAGATTGAACTGGAACCAAATTGCAGCTGAATTGCCTCGTTGAAATTAGTCTTTCTCTAGTGGCTCCGCTTGTCACTCTGGCCTTCTTTGCGCTTTCAGCCTTTCGTTATAACGTTCGTGAAGATTAAAATTTTTCCCGCAACTTATCGTGATTTCGCTTTTTTTCTTTGAGAAACCTACCTTCCAAAATGGTGAAATCAATCTTCCCGTTCGGACTTAAAGGCGGTATGGGAAAAAAGGCGTACAAAGCCGAATCTCGGCTCCTGGAAGATTCATGGTTTCTAAAGCAAGAATTCGATTCCCTGCGGCTGATCAATTACTCTTGGCAGCATGCATCTTCATCAGCGGGGCCTAAAATGACCAATGACTTTGATCATTTTTCTCCCTTGCCTTCAGCTCCCTCAGTCCAACAGTGTCTCGGGAGGAGCTCTTTCGCAAGAAACTTGACTCGTGCTTTATATTTACTGCCAATTGACATGACAAAATAGACACAAAAAAGTTTGCATAAAAAATTCCCCATGAGATCAAGCCTAACCGAACGCATCTGCCAAGGTAGAAGTCGTTTTACTTGCAGTACCAAGTATTATGTATTAATTTTTAGTTAATATTTTATTGTGACGCTTGCCTATTTTTCAGGAAAACTTCACGTTTGTAATTTTTTTAGTTGTTACACTCTATGCCCTTGATATAGCCCTGGACAAATTTTCCAGGTACTGATTAATGACATTGACAACTTCTTCCTTCTTTCCTTACCTCCATTGACATCATTCCCAAACCTTCTGCAATACTTAGTCTAAGCCCTATTCTTTTCTCATTGCATACTGCACGACCTTGTCGATGCATTCGGCGGCTCTTTTCTCTTGCGAGACTTCTTTCTGCGAACTTTTTTGTATTCATTTTGTCTGCCGGCCTCATCGTTCCATATCCATAGTAGTTTGATAGTTAGAAAAGCAGGCGTTACGCGTGCCATAGCGATGCCATGATGTCCAAATGCCCATGCAAATCGTGCTAGCTCTGCTCTCTTCCTTCTTCCCTCCTTGCGATTCACCTTTCTCATGCCACGAGACGAAGGCCTTGTCTATAATTTTTTTTTTAAGCGAAGATGCAATTGGGATCTTGAGGCCATTCCGAGAAGTCGTTTAGTAGTATTTTTCCCGCGGATTCGTGCATCGAATTTACTCGAGCTTGCTTGCCTTCCTCGATTCTGCGTTTAGAATTCATTAGTGGATGTAAAAGTTCCATCATGCAGCCGGTGCGTGACTCACGAATATCGCAAAACAGCCCGGTCCATCCGGGTTCACATCTGCATTCCAGAGGTCGGGTACAAAATCCGTGTTTACAGCCTGGAAGCTTTCGGCAGTCCGAACACGTCTCTCCGTCCCAACCCAGCCGACATCTGAAAAATCCAACTTGACCGCTAGAAACGAGAAAACTTGTTCTTCCTTTCAGCCAAGGAAATCATTATTGAAGACTCACTTGCATTCGTCGGGCTTCTCGCAATAGCCTCGAGTCAGGTGACAGCCTTCTTTGCAGCTTGCTGCACGAAAAGCACCAGAATTATGTTTGGCTAAAATACTCGTTCGTTCACGGGAAGCTTGGAACTTACGTTGGCTGCAGAAGAGTCCATCCCAGCCCGGTTTGCAACGGCATTGCCACGGTTCTTCACAGATTCCATGAACGCATCCCGGCAGGGTCATGCACTCCCTGCACAAATCTCCCGTCCACCCTATCATCAGAAAACACGCAATTAAAGAACCGATCTCGTACAGAGGTTAGTGGAAACTCGTTCAGTGAAAGGGTGCCAAATAGCGGAACTCGAGTTCAGAGTTCGGGGCCTTGATTAGCTTAATGACTGCGACGGAGACCATCAGAAAATCGACTGCACGACCCTGCGGCTTCGTGGGCGACCCAACAAGATTGGGACCAAGATTCTCGTCTGTGCCCTCTTGACATTAACCCTTCTCATCCCTGAAGTCGACAGTCGTAAATGCCCGTTATGAGACCGTTACAATAGCCTGCACGAGATAGATCCTGTTTTTGTTTTTCGTCGTCATCGTGCCCCATTTCGTTCGGAATCAACCGTTTCTGGATTACTTTCGCCCGATTCCATCTCCAGACGCAATTCAAACTTTCGTTCTTCATATCAGTTCCCTCTCGAAATTCAGATTTTGAATTAAAATATTCTCTGTATACACCAGAACTGAGAGTATAAATTTGCTGTCTCATTCCATCCTCACTTTCATGGAATCAACGCTTTTTAAATACAGAATGATTGAAAAGCGAGGTACAAACCCATTTTGCAGGTGCATTCTCCGGGTAGCTGACAGTATCCATGGAGAGGGTCGCATCCGTTTTTGCAGATCGGGACATCGCACATATCACCCGTCCATCCGATCTGGCAAATTCGCTCTCCCTTCCCGCTACACTTGAAGTGAGTTCCCCTCTTCTCTTGACATCCGCTCTCGTCCTGAGACTAAATCGATTCCGTATTAGAATTCCATTTCCGCTTCAAAGAGGGAATTCCATAGGCGTAATCAAGCATTCCTGAATTAATATCGCTTCGGGGGGAATAACCCGACATATTCACGATGAAGCATGCAATTGAGTGAATGTCCTAAATCTCATATCTCACCTCGCTGCCGCTTATGGTGCGTCGAATGGGATCCCTTTCCTGGCCCGACAAGAACAAGGAAAGGAAGGGATTCAAGGGATTCAAGGCTTGTCCGCGAATCACACAATGTGCGGTCACGAAAATGATGAGAGCACCGCACTGCATGTCTCGTCACTCTGCACGCCTCTGTGTATCTCGGTCTCTCACATACAAAGAATAATGTTGTCCCTCCGCATTCCTCCTCTTTCTCTCTCTTCACCTACATTATTTGGTGAGTGGAGGAGGGAAAAGGGGGTCGAGTCGAAGGCCAAGTACAAGGAGTCAGTCCCCTCCCCTAGACTGGGCTTTTTCTTTCCTCTCCGCCATGTCAATGAACGATGGGAACGGGACTGGTTGGCCATGCGGAAAAGGTTGTTGCCTTACTCATCCATCCATACCCATCTCTCTTTTTTTTATTCTCTTTTTCTCTCGCACCTTTCTTCTTCCACTTCCCTTTCCTTTTCTTCTACCTTCCTTCCTTCCTGGAAGGAAACTTCTTCACGGTCGAAGGAGAAAGACAAAAGCTGTTCAGCTAAGACCAAAGGTTACGTGTCACGCTGTTTCATCGTATGGGACTTCCTCTTCAGGCCCTAGCAGACTAATCCGGAACTGACGATCATTCGGTATATTGATTGATTGCGTTGGCAATTGCATTAAGTGATGGCATCCTTCATCTATTTGCTGCATATCAGCACCCATCGGCTTAATGCTCGGTAGATACGAGGGGTGGTGCAAATGTAATTAGAAACCATTTTCCCTTTACAACCCAATATGATATTTGAGGTGGCAACGCCGCCTCAAGTGAGTGGTTATAAATATACACGCTGGTGAGCGAAACCGTCTATTCGCGCCTGCAGTACCTACAGGCAATACTATCGCATGAAACGCGAACAGTACCCACGACGGAAGTTTAAAAGCAGCGAATCGCTTACAAAAGGAGAAAAAGGTAACAGCTATTGTGTTAAAACGGTCGCAGGGTCAGAACGGTGATCCGAGCATAACATCCGCGTTCGAAGCATGCATTGCCTGTCTATCACTGATGATATCGCTGATGAGCAAGCAGGGACCCAGTTATGAATTCGTAACGCACCTGCACAAATCATAATAGCGTCACAGAGGGCGTCACGATAACAGAAGTGAATTTTCTGTGATGGAAGCCAGGTGGAGAAATAACGGACAGTTGGATGTGTATTTCACAGAGTCGGGTAACACGTGGTTTGTATCAGATGAACGCAATAACTTATTTTCCGTTAATTTTGGTCCCCATCCTCATTACAAGACATTCGTGGTCATCTCCATCCGCAATTTGTCCAGGGCCTTTCCCCAGGAGCTTCCCCTCGCTTATTATGTAGAAATTCTCGTATATGATTTTATTTTTTTTTCAGTTGTTAATGTCACGAATAGTTTTGAAAAGAATTCCATCAAATCTAAGCCCATTGTTTCGAGATCCCAACAGGTGGCAGACACGGTAACTCGTGAAACGCAGTGTAAATAATGAAATCGCAGATGTTGTTGATTGGGAAATGATGTCAGCCATGTCGATTGAAGACGGATCTCGCTTTCCCTCTGGGCAGTTCGCCCAGAGCAAAAGAAGAAATGGAGGTCACTGTCTAAGTAGATAATAAAATGTCAATAAGCTGCTCAATTTCAATAAGTTTGATTTAATTAATGGGATTTTCTTGCCTTGGCGGTATGCCTTTTGAAGGTCTCTGGTATACCAATGTCCTCAAATCGTCAGTGCTGCAACTGCTTTTAATGAATTACTAAACCTATCCGAATAATGGGCAGGAAGGGGAAAAACTGTCAGAAAAGTTAATGTTTTACCCATCTAGTTCCTTTTTTGGCGAAACTTGCTGAGTTAACTGTAAATTTCTCAGGCAACTATTTTTATATATTTGGCAACTAGTTATAATTCCCATAAATTGGAGGTTACCATAAATTCATTTTATTTGTAGGCAAAAATTATTTATCTTCATTAACCTGTATCATGAGATTTGTACCCCAACCTCTTATAATGGAAGAAAGTCGTAGCAAGCAATTCTCCGCTTCGTTCCTTATCTGGCCGTGCTGGGCCCCAGTCATGTGAAGCCCATGTACCAAAACAGTCACGTAGCATATGCCTTGTTTAGGCAAATTACTGGAAGCATTATGGACCGACTGAAAATGTACAGTGGAAGTGCATAAAAATGCAGTTGCCGAACTTTTTTGTTTATACAGGGTGCGTGGAAAGTTCTGCAACCAAATTCTTTTTTGTTTGAATAGTTTTTTTAAATTGCATTTTTTATTACTTGCAATAAGTTTTTCAATAGTGTCCTAATTTGTCTCTTTTATCGTATTTGTGTTTTTTTTCAACTTGTGATTTTGTCTTCAATTAATTTTTTTTCGAAAAATTTGGTTGCAGAACTTTCCACGCATCCTGATTGGTTTGATATAATTTAACAACTGCGAAAAGAGTATCTAAAAATTAATTTTGTAATTGCAACTAATTCGTTAAAAGTAACTTCACGTATGACTAGTTACGTTCTGAAATAACTATGGCCTTTTCCCTTTCGAGGGTAACTTTCATGAGTCTTTGACAATGAATATGAATTGAGACTAATCTTTCTGTATACGGAGGTGTTTGGTTTCAGTACCTGGTATTGAGTTCGAGATATCGGGTGGAATAGGATCTAGCATTGAAAAAAACCCATAGTTGGTTTAACAAGCACGTAGTACTATGAGTACCTATCTGCCTTTCAATACTGGTTCCTGTTGATCTGATGCTTTCAGTCTAGACTTGAAGGGAGAGTACTTTTCTGAATTCAAAAGTATGTTTCCATATTTCCAAGTACTGTACCTGTATTTTATCCAGTACTAACGACAAGTATTTTCCCTATTTTCCTGGAAAGTACGGAAGGTGAACTACAAGGCTGGCAAAAACTAGAAGTAATCAGTACTTTGAGGCATTGCCAGCACTTCTCAGAACTTGTTGAGATGGAGCCGCCTAGTACATTTTGCTGCATACGAACAGCGATCGGCCTTACAGAAGTACTATTTGAATATGGCCCCTGGCATTTCCTCGCGAACGATCTTGGCAATTCAGTCCGTCAACGAGCACGTCCTCAAGGGATTGTATCCTTCAGGCTGTAGCCCATGCAATTGAACAGTGCCATGATATTATCTATCAAGGGCGATCAGCTTCCGCACATCGCATGGATGACGGTATGGGATATTTAGGTTCAGAGAAAGGAGAACGCCGACGAATACCCCGAGGGCGGATTTTCATCCCAAAATCTATCACGATCTATGACACACATCTCCCCTATTATAATTCCCCCTTCCCATTGGTAATCCGTTCCTCAGCATCTTACCTGACCGCAAAGGAAGGTTTTCTATTGTATAGAGATGGTAAAAAGCTGAATGCATGCCTGTCCAATTTCACGTCCCACTTCCTCAACACAAGAATTGATAATAAAAAAATTCCACTTCGCACTTCCGAGAGGTTCCTGATTCTGCTGATCTCTGACCTTTAGACTTTTCATGCCTTGGCGCTAAGTATTGAACGGTTCAATACTTAGCGCCAAGGCATACGGCCCTTCAATAAACTGTAACTCTCATAATGTCTAATTATCAGTAATGACGTATCCAAACGTCGAGACAGTCACTGATTTCACAGATATAAAGCGGTGGTATTCGATATCCGCAGATATTCTCAGATATACTCGTTCACACGTAACTTCTGCAAGAGACAAACTATTTTTTTTACTTCAGCAAACGTCGATTGATGATTAAAATTTCATTTGTACGGTCACTGCGTCTCCCTTCGATCAAATTGAGCTCCAAGTGAATTTCGTCCCAATGCTTCCCATGACTCGCGATCTCCTCCTTCCTCATAGGAAACAGTGTAATCATGAGCAGCCATAACAAATATCAAATTTTATTACCGGTATTTCATGCATTTCAGCTGGAATAGCAGGCTTCCTCTGAGGAGCAAGGGGGCATGTCTTCGCCGTGGAAAAGACAAGCCTTCTGGATCTGCGAAGTTCTCAAATTTCTATGCAGACATAACGAATGAGATCTCGTGTCGAATATGGTCAGAGTTCACCTCAGAAAGGGAAAGAAAGCAGTCAATACTGTTTTCTTCATGTATCTTGCAATGCACTGCTCTTCTTCATGGCGTCAACAGAAGTCTGGGATGGTGGAATATAAATAAAGGGAAAAAAGCAAAAGGTTATCACATAAGATGCCGAAAAGGCAATCCGAAAATGATTTTGTTCATCCAACTAAATTCATGAACACGAGAGTGTACCTAGCGGCCTTGAGCATGGTCATGAGGACGCTCAAGCCGTTGAGGAAAGGATTGAGAACCCTCACGGTGGAGTCCAGCATCCCAGCCATCGTGGACATGAACTGTCGAGCCTCGGCGGATTGTAGTAGAATCGGATTCACGGATTCCTTGAAGGCCTTGCTCAGAATTCGGACCAACTTCACGACGGGATGGCGGTCGAGTCGCAAGACGGAGAGGAGTTTCGTGAAGGGACTCTCTTCCACTTCGGTCAAGTCTCGTCCCTCGACCGAGAAGAAAGACGCCCATGGACTGTCCTCGGTGATGTTGCACATCTCCTGCACGGCGTCGGGCATGGCCCAGACCACGTCTTCTGCCACCATTTTCGTGAGGTCGATCATCAGCTCGGGGCTGATTGCCGCGCAGGTCTCGTTCTTCCCCAACACATCCTTCGTGTCTCGCTGAATTTTCGCATACAAAATCTCTCGAGATTTTTCAAGAACGTATTTCTCCTGCTCGGTTCGACCCGGTCTTTCCGCTTCCCCGAGGATTCCCTGAACCTCCCTCTTGTGCTTGTGATGAGAATAATGCGGTTTGTTTTCATCTGGATCGTGGTAGCTATGTTTGTGATGGTCTTCGCTAGAGTGAGTGTAGGGGGCAGCAGTTGTAGTCGTCGTCGTCGTTGTTGTCGTTTTAGCCGGCCCCGGGCAGATGCATTTCCCTGAGTACGGATCCACGTGTCCGTGTTTTTGCTCTTCGTGGCTCATATGATGATGATACTCATCGTAATGGTGCTCGGTGCAGTCTGCTCCGGCGAAATTCTTTTTGCATGATACCCTCAGGGCGTAATCCATGTGAACGTTTTCGTTCTTATACCAGTGGAGCGTCCAGTCCTGGCCAGGCTCGATGTCATCAACCACCGTCACTCTGGCAATCAGCTTTGCCAGCTTATCTGCAGACAAAGGATAGCCATTTATTACTTTGATCTCCTTCGATCGCCGAAGTAATAAAGAGACCATCGCTATGTTTGTCCCCGAAATTCGAGACGATAGAAATTCGTGGTGTCACGGAAATCTGGGACTGTTTCCTAACCCGGAATGAGTTAACCCGATATCTTCAATAGATTTACGTGACTTTTCTGGAACGACGATTCCACTCATTGTGTGATGTCAATCGAGTGACAGGCACGTAGTGGTATAGTGGTAATCGGAAGCACGAATCGTTTGTGCCTGTTGCGCTCTGATACCGTAGGCCAATTAACGCCCCTCCCATCGCATTATTTTTTTATAGAGGGCACAGAACCGGAAAGAGCTACACGTGTAAATCATGGCACTTGTCAAATGAAAGAAGTAGAGATCAACTTACCGTGGACTTTGGCGACACCTTTATATGAAAACAGGTCGCCGGTTACATCATGCCAAGATTCGATGATCACTGCAACGCGTTTCTGAAAAATTCATCCAATGATGATGTTGAGTCTCTACGAGGAGAATGGAGGGATAGTCGGTCGCAGACGAGGAGGGCTGTTACCGTCCAAGGGAAGTCGAAAGGAAACTTGATATCCAGGATCCCTTCATCGTGGGATTCGAGGGAATTGTTTGCGACGACGTCGGTGACGATGACCCCGATACTGCAGGGAGCATTGGGATCCACAGCGTGGCGTTCTTTGTCCGTGGACGTGTACGCCTGAGTGAAGTCACGCCCGGGCACCGTGGCACACGCCCGGAAAAACGTTCGACACACACCTCTGCACACCCCCGTACTTTGTCGATATGGCTGGCAACATTGACCGTCTGCATCCTTCGCTTCCGCATTGATGAACGTTGTCACTCGCACCTCCAACACGCCCGCTCCGTCAACCTATACCGAATATCAATTCAACAAAACACCAGGGTAGTAAGGCTTCGCTCCATTTCAGTATTTTACCTGCTCACGTTGCACGTACCATATGGCACATGGACACGTACCAATTACTCACGACTTCTCATTTTAAGCAAAATTCTAGATTCTGGTGTCCTGAAGTACATGGCGAACCAGTCATCTAGTTTCTCCGTTAAAAAAAAGATTAAAGTCCAAATGCTGGAACACCTTTAGTTTACGATCCTTTAGCTCTTTCGTGCATTAATTTTTTAAGCAAAAAAAAATATATGCCTTTTTTGGTTTAACGTTTAAGGAGGTACTCTGCCTTAGTAGTCCAATGTTCCACCACTAGAAAGCAACACTGAACAGATCATGTGCCCTTGAGTTGACTGCATGCACCAAAAGTTTCAAGGTATGTGTGCCATGGCTAAAAAGCCATCATCATCTTCAAAAATTTTGCCGTCCACTGCAGTGGACACCATGCACGAAAGGGGAAAAGGAGGAAAAAGGAGCTCATAGGCTTAACGTCCCCTTTATCTCGCCAAAATGAGGTTTCAGCATTCGGGCTTTACCCTTTTTTCTTTAACAAGGAAATACTAGGAAGGAAGAATGTTTCTGGGGCATACCAAGATAGCTTGACTTCTACGTAGGTAAGAGAAGCACGTACAGAAGACCCATTAATCCTTCTGGCCCTTCTCTTTCATTTTTGAACAGTAATCTGTTACTCTCAGAACTTGTGCGTGGATGAACGGACAAGTCTCCTTGAAACGGAACATATAAGCAACAAATAGGTTTCTAGTATAATAGGCTTGAAATGCTGAGATGACTGCGCAAAGCAGGAACTTTTTGTCAGCCATTAAAAGTAATTCAGACACGAAGGCAGTACTTACCAACGGAGCGAGTCGAGGATGGTCGATCATGCATGAAAAATTTCTCTATCGGTCGACAGTGGATCAGAAAAGAGATCTATGATGAGGGCATTATTCTGCCGTCATCGGTCATTAGGAAGGAGTGTCCTGTGAAAAACCATGGCTCAGGTCACACTGCGCCATAGAATGTGGGCTAACGAGAAGCAAAGTATTTGCATTATAGAAGAGTTCATGCGGTTCTTCTCATTATCTCTCCTTTAGCCAGAAGATGTGGGTTCCTCAAAGGCCGGTCACATTCTGCTGTTCTGGGTCAGGCGTATGAAAGTGAAGCGTTTGGCTTTTGCCCACGTTCCCGTTTGCATGCCTTTCTTTGTGTGCTTCTCGCCAAGCCACTTATACCTTAGGCTAAAATTGATGAGACTTTTATAGAAGGTCTTGTTTTGAGCACACGTATGAGTCATGCAACGTCCACTTGACCACTGGAAGAGTGGGTTTCTCGCACGACCTCCAACGTCGGCGTCAGGAAGTACACCGAAATAACAAAAAGCCATGTGTCCTTCCTGTTCGTTTTTTAATGACGGACTCGAGGTACACATGACTTGTAAGTTACGTTTCCGTCAACAGTGGCAATAGTTCTTCGACTACCTCAACAGAGAATTTGCTCCTGCACTGACAGGAAAACAGACTGGTTATCCTGAAAAAAATCAGAATAATCCATCTAGCTAACTGGCAGGATGTTTTGTTTTCCCAGCCACTACATAATTCACAATCGCATTTACTGTCAACTTCCGGAGGCGGAAACTGCGCGTGTCGTTTTATCTTAGCTTTGACCTCAACACGCGAACCGTTATGTCTACCTCCGGTTTTTCTTGAATCCCCGTCATCCCTCCTATCATGCGTGAGGGAAGTTGAATGACAGTCGTAAGGGAGCGATAACCCCTACCTTGCTGATGAGGGTGAGTGAAGCGATGAACAAGAACGACTCGGACCACATGCTTGCCGGTGAACTGGGAATGGCATGACGGCGAGAAGGAAGGCTGGGCGCTTGGCTGGGGCCTAGTTCAACATAGACCCACTTTATTCCACCGCTCCTGGGCTCTTTCTCTCTCTCTCTCTCTCTTTCTCTCTCTCTTTCCTCTCGGTCATCTAACGATGCGAGAGAGAGGGAGAAAGGAGACAAGTTGGTGCTCCTGCCTCGCTTCACTCTCTTTCATAGCACGGCATGGAATGTTCCGTTATGAGACATAGTCCCCGCTCACTTTTTGTGCCTTCTTTCTTCCTCAAACATCTAAGAGATTTTGACATTGAGTTATTGTCAACTTTTGCAAAATTTGAACTATTGCTTAGATACGACTCACCGCTTTCCACACCCATGAGCATCACTTTAGGAGTCGGCGCATGGGCAAGAGTGCGAGTTGAGAATGCTCTTCCATTTTCGGTTTCCTTAGGTTACCGACCGTGCCGATAGAAGTATCAGAGCATGAATTCTCATTTATTATGATAGTGATGACTGGTTCCGGAAATTCCTAGCTTCAGGGGGTATTTTGACCAGCGTATGGCTTGGTATAAGAAGGTATGGCATGCGCTGACAGAAAATTACACTCCCTAGACTAAGTAGATTCCCGTACAGGCCGGTGTCAGCTGTGTTTTCCAATTACTAAAGGCATAGGGATTCCCCCATCGCCTCATGGTTCCGGGTTCAAAATCACATAATATTTTGTTACCTCGGGGAAGTGACCCACTTCGACTCGTTATGTGGTCCAGTGGGCTCGACGAGCGGAGTCACCAGTCAGCATCTGTTCTCTTCTACGAGGTATTACTGGAGAGACTGAAGTATGAGTCAAATATCGGGAATCAATGGGAAATGTTGAAGGTGCTCTATGTGGCCGCCATTCCTTATGATTTACAGTTCCAACCGGCGTAACCGCTCGTCCTGTGTCACTTCTATATCACTGCCAACAGAAATAAACCAAATTTCTAAGGATAAGCAAATAATTATTATAATAACAAATATATGATTGATTCCAGACATTTGACTTGTACAGGGTGATTCAAAAGTCACTGAACGACTTTGGACAGCTATAACTCGGCAAGGAAGGCATTACTTTGCAACTTGTTTTTTTTTTTCACAGAGCATGCCCTAATTAACAAATATGCCACGTTGGAAAAAAAAATAATTTATTTATTTGGCGTGAAAATGACTGTAATTACTGGCCCTGATATTGAACACCAACAAGCTTGATAACGTGAACCATCACCGAAGGACAACTCCTGCAATCCTCTCAGCGATGAGTTGCTTCAGTTCAGATCGCGCGCGAATTTTCGGCATATCTTCAAATGAAACCCCGCAGCCAGAAGTTTAGTGGAGTCAGGTCCGGCGACCTGGGAGGCCACTCGATGACCCGGCCTATCCACCTGTCTTCAAAGCGAAACGACGCTTCACTTCGGAAAGATTTCCTTCACAGATAGAGAAGAAATTAACGATGGCGACACGTTCCTCCAGAGAAAGTTCATCGGCATTATCAATCTACGACATTTAGAGCAGCAAAAATTAACAGAAAATAATCGCGGGTCCGTTGTACCCTAAATATCACTTTTATGCCTGAAAATGTTGCCTTTATCTCATCCCATTTCTTATTAGTATTTCATGCAAATTTCTATGTTGTTTCGTCAACTCACGCTATTTCGTATTCAAAAATCCTTTTGCAAATTAATGCTTTCCTTGCTGAGTTATAGCTGTTCAAAGTCGTCCAGTGACTTTTGACTCACCCTGTACTTTGCCAATACAATTCCAAAAGAAACGAAGAAACTTCCCTGGTCCTTTACCTCAAGAATACGGCAGAGATGGGTACCGAAATATTTGACTATTTCAATGGCTCCCAACCGGGGTGCCGCGAGATTTGAAGTAAATAAAATAAATATGCTTTAACTTGACTCCGACCTGCCTTACGGCAGGATCTACATTATCTCTCCTTTCAGATTTACTTTAGCAGTCAAAGAAACACCCTCGAAGAATGGGTTGGACATTACTTCCCATCGCTGCAAGTAGTGAAACTCGATTGGGAGAGAAACCCATTCTTGCCAAATTCTGTTCGATCGGCAACCGGTGAAGGCACAAAAAGGGCTCGCTGAGACATGCACAGACAGCACATTGACGAAACACGGTGACTTGACATTGGATAATTTCTGGGTGCCCGTGAAAAAGGAATACTCTGATATCGACTAATGCGATATCGGTGTTGCTGCCGTTTGCTACTACCTACTTGTGCGAGTAGAACTTTTTGGCTCTGACGAAAATCAAGAACAAGAGAGAACGCCTTCTCTCAGTGGAAAAGGAGCTGAGAGTTGCACTACAGACAATCTCGTCTCGTATCAAATTGCCGTGTTCAGCGAAGCAAGCACAAGTTTCCCATAGAAGGTAAGTAAATGGCTTCGTGAGTCACGAAAAATTTAATTGTCCTCATGTGTGCCGCGAATAAGAAAAGGTTGGGAACCACCAGAGTATTTGACAAATACTACTTTGTAAAATAGAAATTTTATTATTTTGTATTTGAAATATCTTCCCAGCCCTCCATTTTCTACTCCTATTTTGAATAGTTTTTTTTTTCGCGGCAGTAATGCATTTATCCAAATATAAATAGCAATTCCATGGAGTCATAAATTTCAGTGATGCAGAAAAAATTGGAAATTTCGCCAAAATTCTTGAACATTGATGCTATTTAGCTTGTACCCACATGAATAAGGACCTGCAATGGAAGATTTTCATTGCAGTATGTGCAAGATCAACCCTAGCTATTTCAGCCCTCTGTGCAAAGAGACTCCCAACAACCGCCCCTCTCTCTCTCCCCTCCCCTCAGAAGGGTCAATCCATAACGTCCAAGAAGACGTCAAACAGGAGGCATTTCCACTTTATGAAGTAAAACTGAGGGTGACATCCATTATTGCTTCATTCATTCTGGCACGTTTTGGCGCCCCTGGTGTATTTGCGCCCTATGCGGGGGCACGTGTGGCACATGCCTAAGTCCGGTTTTCGAATAAACACCCGAATGACATCAGTTCCCAGAAATCCAATCAATAAATAAGTGGCCTTAGACGCTCATAGAGGTATGGCTCAGCTCTTACCAAATATATTTTCACAAAACATTCCCTATGCCTAGGCAGATATGTTTTCAGGAGATTTATTTTATTCAAATTCAACCATGGTATTGAAAGTGGAGGG